CTGTGCTGTAATTCACTAGAGATGGTGCGCTTGACCCCGGGTGACGTAATGCGATAAACGCCAGACGTGACGCGCGGACAGGAACGCTGATGGTCTGCCTAATGCCTTCCGGATGGTCCGCCTAATGCCCTCCGGATGGTCTGCCCAATGCCTTCCGGATGGTCTGCCCAATGTCTTCCGGATGGCCTGCCCAATGCCTTACAGATGGTCTGCCCAATGCCTTCGCGATGGTCTGCTCGATGCCCTCGGGATGGTCTGCCCATTGCCTTCAGCATGGTCTAATCAATGCCTTTGGGATGGTCTGCCCAATACCTTCAGCATGATCTACTCAGTGCCTTGCCTTGATCTGAGGCAATAAGGCATCGCTCAAAAGCCATAGCACAGTGACGTATGCCCCGGATACTACAGCGATACTCGTGCCTTTGTCAGCGTATTGATGTCTCTGCTGGACAGGAGGACACGAGAGACAACCGCATGCGCGGTGAATATTGTTCGCGTCCAGGCAGTGAGCCTTCCTCCAGGAACCACGTCTGTGGCATCACTCTGCGATAACTTTAGAATTCATATCAGGTTTTAAACCCTCGCCAATTTGTAGTTGATTGATAGTGGTGTTACCGTGAAGAATGCGAGCATCACATAATGTATCTGTGAGGCTCTTCCCTTCCGAACGAGGCAACATTGGGATTTGTGTAACGCCAAACATGGCTGGAATGTATAGAAGCGCGGTGTCTTGAATTGCCGGCTATTGATCAAATGTTCCCCTCACGCATATAAGTTGGGTGTTCTTGGAGCTTGAAACACATTATCTGAACACAACACCAAGTTGTTGGGTGGTAAATAGATGCCTCTCAGACTGGCGTCACCGGTGGCTCAGCTACCTCGCTTATCTTTAATCTTGATTGCTGTCTCTCTCGGTGGCTGTAATCTGAGGCCACACCAGTTTAAGGCTTGCAACAGCACCCCATGCACTCTCGTTTCAGTCATCTTCTTAGGATCACAAATATCCGGCGCCACTTCTGACGGCAGCGTACGTCTGGATGATATTTACGTGTGTGACGGACGGCGTGTCGTGACGGGGCTCCAGCCCTCGCGAGCGGCTAATGGTCTGCGCCGCGGGTCGACGCGGCCGTGATGCCGGGACCGGCCGGCTCTGCAGCGTCGCTCCGTCGCTCTCCGAGAGGTAGTCTGATTACCGTAGGGCACAGCGCGGCTGGTCGGCTCCGCCTGCGGCCGGCTCTGCGGCGTCGCTCCATCGCTCTCCGAGAGGTAGTCTGATTACCGTAGGGCACAGCGCGGCTGGTGCGCTCCACCTGGGGCCGGCTCTGCAGCGTCCCTCCGTCGCTCTCCGAGAGATAGTCTGGTTACCGTAGGACACAGCGCGGCTGGTGCGCTCCGCCTACGGCCGGCCGGGGCCTGCTGATGCTCTCAGCCAGAGGCCCCAGCCGCGGTGATGGCTGCACGATGTAATCAGTGCATTCGCGAGGAGCAGTGGACCTGGTCATTGATTACAGATTATTAGCCATTGGTTGACAATTGATCGTATTTGTCATGTTGCTCATTGATGATATTGGTGCGTGTATCGAGAATGTCACGCATGGGACTTCCCCCCCCCCCCCCCCCCTGCAGGCAGCCAGTTCCCTGCGTGTCTATGCATTTCGATCAGTGGCGGCACTTGTGCTGTGCTTCTTCAGTGCTGTGCTGTGCTTGTGCTGTGCAGGTCAGGCCGTGCTGCCCCTCGCGGGTGACCTGTGCCGGTCCTGGAGGTCAGGCCGGGCTGGACGGTACACACTCGCGGCTCATACAAACTCAAACGGACCAGACGAGATCATACTAGACCAAATTCAGACCAGGTCAAGTCTCTGCAGTCGCAGCCAGCGGCATGCGTCGGCCGGAGACTGCATGGCGCTGTCGGGCGGTCCGCGCCCGTGCCAGGGTAGCCTGGACACAACAAACGAGCACTGAGTGCCCCCGCAGGGAGACCAACCTCCTCCTCCCTGTCGGTCCGTGCTGAGCGATGCCGTGTGGTGCAGAGCTAGACCCGCATCCGGCTGCCCTGAGGGCTTGTTTAGGTCTGTGCTGACCGATGCCGTGTGGTGCAGAGTTAGACCTCGCGTCCCGCTGCCCTGAGGGCTTGTTTAGGTCTGTGCTGGCCAATGCCGAGTGGTGCGGAGCTAGGCCTCGCGTCCCGCTGCCCTGCGGGCTTGTTTAGGTCTGTACTGGCCGATGCCGTGTGGTGCAGAGCTAGGCCTCGCGTCCCGCTGCCCTGCGGGCTTGCTTAGGTCTGTGCTGGCCGATGCCGTGTGGTGCAGAGCTAGACCTCGCGTCCCGCTGCCCTGCGGGCTTGTTTAGTCTCAATGCGCGGTGGTACGTGACCATTTGGCTTCGGTTGTGGGGCCCATGCCCGCAGTCGCCCGTACACCCCGTTTGTATCAACGTGCCGATTTCTGGTGGACCCTGTGGCAGATCTGAAACCATGTTGTCCCGCAAATTCGGTGCGCCTTCACGAGGGTCCAGTTACAGGTTGTGTGAGAATAATACATCATGAATTTATCGGGCATTGCAGACTAGCTGGGGGTGGAAACTCTGGATCTTTGGACAGTGAGATTCACCCTCACGTGGGCAGCAGACGTTATATTTTATTTTTGTACAGATTGATGGCTTATTCCTGCTACCAGCGACCCGGAAGTCACCTAGAGAAGTCACTGCGCATTGTGTGAGTCGCCAACAGTAGTATGAGAACGTTAAATTGGTCCTTCCAGTGACAACCCCGAGCGTTTTTGAATCCCTCGATAGTCTGAGCATCGAATGCTTATTATGGTAGGCCATTCCAGTCGCCGAAAGCTCTTTCGCTAAAGCTTTGCTAGCGAGTCGGCTCCCACCTCGGGGATTCTGATGGCATGGCCCATGCTCGTGCGCTGTCCGCCAACTCGGAAGAGCTGAGGTGGGGGATTCGAATTTTGCCGGTCATGGCCTAGTACATTAGGGTCATGTGACGGCGCCTGCGCTGATGGTGACTGGTGAACTCAGTGGTCTGAAACGCTCGGAGTATTTTTTGACTCACCGGTTTTGGCATTATGTTTGTTTTTTCTGGCCTCACCTTTGCTTTAATATAAGCAACATAGTCAGTATCCTCCTGATTTTCCTGCATTATGAGATGGAGCTTCTCAAACCGTTAATAATTGGCCTGCAGTTTACCAGGAGGTGCTGCTTTTACGACGCCATCGAGAAAACGTTGGCTGTGTATCAATATTTTGAACGGTGATCATCACCAGAACAAAAAGTTCGCACAGCACCTTTCGGTCTAACAAAAGCAAGGATCCCAAATAACGCTCCCGTATTCTAGGAGGGGCGAACATGCTGCAAATCGTCAGCCGGATTTCTCGGCCGTGTGTGCCATAAATGTATTGACAACAGCCAACGTCTTTCGGTTACTCTGACAGATGTTGCATCGTGTTTGTGGAAGTTTAAGGGGTCACCGATCACATTACTAAAATACGTTTCCTCCGCAAAGCACTCAGAGGTTGTTCCGTCCAAGGCGTAGCTGTAGCGGCGACAAGTATTGATGAAGCATAGTCCCAGCGAGGCTTGTGACGAAGAGCAGCATGCAGATGGCGAGTAGCTCGGCTCCAGAGGCCCGTCTTCTGTATTTTGGTGACTGCGCCAGAGTGCTTGGCATCTTATTGAAGAACGTGCATGCCCATTTAGCGAAATAGTTTTGCGACCTTCTGCGCCATGGAGGCATATATTAGTGTAATAAAAAACCGAGAAAAGTAGCAAACTGTTAAGCTTTCCCTTTCATGTCGAAATACCAAGAACACCTCCTGTCCAACTTAAAGCGATCTCATATGTGTACACGGACGCAGACACTGACAGATACACACATATTCATAACACAGATAGCAAGGACGTCTCAACATGCCTCGCGCCCCACATTTAGCAGATGGCATGCCTCCATAATGGCAGTGCTTTGGCTCACGGCGTTATTGCCGAAGACGAAATGCCGATGTCACAATTTGTCAGATGTTTCAACTTTGATATGGACCAAAATTGCTCTTGCAATCAAAATTCACATCCTGTTCCAGAAAACATAAAGTTAGCAGATCTTTTTGTGGGTTCAACCCCCTCTCAACGCATTTGGCCAGCTGATGGAGTCCGTTCGCCTACTCTAGGAAAATCCGCGCGAAGTATGGGGCTGCAGAGCTGTATTAGGGCTCTATGGCAAGGAATGCACGTCATGAGCGGCAGACTTGGTGCCGGCTGACCGTCCGTTTGGCTTCTCCGCATAGGGAGCTGTATTAGGGCTCTATGGCCAAGGAAGCCACGTCATGTGTAGCAGGCTTGGTGCCGGCTGACCGTCCGTTTGGTTTCTACGCATAAGGAGCTTGTCGGTTACACCGGATACATTTCTATTTTATTTTTTTTTTGTTTCTTGGCAGGAACGCGGTTACTTTTCTCGGTCCCTGTCCTTTTTAGGCAAATCAATGCCTTCGGAAGTGCTATAAAAACTAGCCCGTCGGGGCTGACACACTGGCTGGTTAATACAGGAAATGGCTTAGTATGTATCACGCGACCTGTTACCCGACCTGACTTGACCTGTGCCTCGCATCAGAGCTATGGCTGCGCACCGTTTGCAGGAAGTGTGAAGTATGAAGCACGACCGGGCCTGACCTGATCTGACCTGACGTGGTCTAACGTGATCTGACACCTATCTTGCCGGCAGGACCAAACCAGCGGGTCGGCCACGCAAAGCATGAGGGATTGGATATGACCTAGCCTGACCTGACATGAGCTAGTCTGCCTGACCTGATCCATCCTCTTCGGCAGGACCAGAGTGACGCGCCGGCCACGCGAGGTAAGAAGGATCGAGTATGACTTGACCTGACCTGATGACCTGATCCCTCCTCTCCGGCAGGACCAGCGTGACGCGTCGGCCACGCGAGGTATGAAGGATGGAGTATGACCTGACCTGACCTAACGACCTGATTCCTCCTCTCCGGCAGGACCGGAGTGGCGCGCCGGCCACGCGAGGTATGAAGGATGGAGTATGACCTGCCGCACGAGGAGACCGTCAAGTGTGTGCTGGTGGGCGACACGGCTGTTGGCAAGACGCGCCTCATCTGCGCGCGCGTCTACAACAAGCAGGTGTCGCTGTCCGAGCTTCTCACCATGCACGTCCCGACCGTGTGGGCTGTGGACACGTACCGCATCCACAAAGAGGTGAGTGGCGGGAGTACCGGGCTCACCATGCACGTGCCGACCGTGTGGGCCGTGGACACGTACCGCATCCACAAAGAGGTGAGTGGCGGGAGTACCGGGCTCACCATGCACGTGCCGACCGTGTGGGCCGTAGACACGTACCGCATCCACAAAGAGGTGAGTGGCGTTGGTACCAGGCTCACCATGCACGTCCCGACCGTGTGGGCCGTGGACACGTACCGCATCCACAAAGGGGTGAGTGGCGGGAGTACCGGGCTCACCATGCACGTGCCGACCGTGTGGGCCGTGGACACGTACCGCATCCACAAAGAGGTGAGTGGCGGGAGCACCGGAAGCTGCATGCGTGTCGGAAACACAGGGCGCCACGGGATGATGTCACAGGGACGGGCGTGGGGAGCACGGGGAGGCACGCACCAGAAATGCGGGAGGTACGTACCTAGAGCATGTGAAAGTCCATGTCAAGAGAACGCCGTAGTGCGTGATGAGAGCAAGTGAATGTCCGCAATACGCATCGGAAACCAGTGTGGTGAGCACCGCACCACCACCACTTTTGTACACCGCACCGCTTTTGTGCGTGGCGTTGCAGCGGTCGCCAGCGTGCTGTGCACCGCACCACCGACCGGTATGTATCGGCACCAAGCAATACTGGCTGGGCACTGAGCAAGGCACGCGCTGGGTCTGCCGTGAGCCGGCCGGTACACAAGCCCAGGGGGACAGGTGCGTCGGGTGGGGCTGACTGTGTGGACGGTGCTCTCGCAGTGGCAGGTCGTGTCGGGCCAGATAAGAGCGTACTCACTGTCACGGATCCATCGGTGAGCACGGTCATCCTTGCCCGGCGATGTTCGTCCGGATCACGAGCGGTGAGCTGGTGCTGCCCCAGGATCTACGTCTCGCCTCGCTGTGGGCACCGTTCTCCGCACAGGTAGAGCGGCGCCGTCCCTCTCCGCAGTGCGACTGTGGCGATACGTTGGCCGGCCGTGGCTCCCATCTGAACCGATGTTAAACTGTCCCGCATCGACCGCAGCCGCTGATGACAATTTGCGAATTCTGCGCGGTTCAGAATTCAGATGCGGACGTCGCTCTAGACGGGGAGTGGTGTCTTGGAGACACACACGATGCTACACGGCGAGGCAACCAGCAGGCCCATATTCACCTCAGGCCATGTTGTTGGTGCCCGCTCACCTCGCCAGTCGGCGTGTCCAGTTCAAAACGTAGCGTCACCATCTCTACGACACGGATGTGTCGTACCGGATCGGCATGGGTGTGACGCTCAGCGAGGCGCGGGAGGGTCGGTGAGTCGCCTGTCAATGGGACCGGTTTGGTCCCCCAGCGACGCTCGTTACCGTCCCGCACTGCCACTGCCTGACCGGCGTGACGTCGCCACCGACTATGATCGCCCTCCGTGCAAATATGTGAGCGGTCTACGCGTCGCTTTGGCGACACGATAAGATACGGGCGCTCCGTAAACAATGTCCGCAAATGCAAGCACTGCTATACACACTGCGGTCACGAGCCGGGGCGTGCCTGTTGCGTCAGCTTTGAATGTCTTGACTGGAGCGGCCCACCGTCCCCGGGCAGCAAACAAGGCGGCGGCGGCCCGCGGCGGTGCCGTTTGTTTTTGCCGCGGCGCGAAAACACATCCGGAGACGAAAGCGTCACCGCGCGGTCCGCTGTGTGAGTAACTGGCGGCGGTGGGCGCCGCTTGATGGTGGGACTCGGGCGGTGGGCGCTGCCTGATGGTAGGGCTCGGGGCGGTGGGCGCCGCCTGATGGTGGGACTCGGGCGGTGGGCGCCGCCTGATGGTGGGACTCGGGCGGTGGGCGCCGCCTGATGGTAGGGCTCGGGGCGGTGGGCGCCGCCTGATGGTGGGACTCGGGCGGTGGGCGCCGCCTGATGGTAGGGCTCGGGGCGGTGGGCGCCGCCTGATGGTGGGGCTCGGCGGGCGACGCTCCTCCCGCGCTGACCAAGCCCGCACCCTTATCGACGGCGGGGGTCGCCACGCCCCGTGCCTGAGGGGCTGGACAGCGCGCTCGCATTGGAATGTGTGTGACGGTCGGCGGGACGGTTCGTCTCCGCCGGCCTGCCTGGGTGCACACCGATGGGACTCGGCTGAACGCAGTGACAGCGCCGGAAACCCAGCTTTATAACGTCATTTTGGGAGTGTGACAAGCGACAGATTTTTGATCGAAACGAATAGTTTTTATGTGTAACATGGTTGCCGCCAAGTGGCTTGCCAAGTATGGCAACTGTGCATGCTGAGATACTCCGAACTTCCGCATTGTGGAATGTGGTCACTCGCTGAAAGATCCGCGCAGGAGCTCTGGAAAGCTCAGTCCCTGTGGGGGCTGCGCGCGGATATCCTTAGATATTTCGTGTTGCGACTTAAGTCACAAAGTGCCTTTCCCCGTGATCATTACCGGGGTCACGCGAGGGGCTCACCCCTTATTCACGTGGTGTCATTGGGTCATATCTCCCTAGATTTAACATTGTTCATTTTGGGCTTCGCTTCACGCCAGGTACCACGGAGTTCCCGCGGTGCGCGGGGAGCTATGAAAGCGTCCAAGATCGCAGCGTCCAGCGCACGTATCATCCGTGCACCAACCAGCGTTCATATCGTACAAAATGTGCCGAATGTCATGCCATTGGCGGAGTTCATACAAGCTAAACTTGCAATGTCCAAACATCTAATTTCATGACAACCAGCGATCAAAGCGTCCAAAATCTTTCAAATACTACGAAACGAACAACCCTTAAATATTAGCTTTGACTTCACCGCTAGATAGCACAATACTATATTTTTGTCTTTTGCAAACATATCACATGACCATGCGTTCAAGCCAGCGCTCAACTCGTGATGATTACAGGAGAACATGGCTAGCACGAATCACTCCGAATGCCTGGCCTCTGTAGCCCCCTCCCTTTGGTTGGCGTCTGTCGCTTGCTCGCTTGTGTCCTATTACCCCCCCCCCCCCTCCGGTTGCCGTCTGTCGCGTCGCTTGGCTGACGACACCTCGGCCCCGCGACATCCCATCAGCCGATGCTGACTCACCGACCGTCCAAGCCTGGGCAGCTTGTCGGCCTCCCCAGAATTATGAAAGGGAAAAGTGCATGCAGTGAATCATTGGGCCGAGCTCTGTCAAAAATTAAGCCTATCAGAAGTTTTGATCCGGTTTGGACTGGGTGTGATAAGGCTCTGCCAGGCTTCTCCTTGGGTCATGGGTCTAACAGCACACATCCCTGGCGATATGCTGATGCGAAAGCCTGCTGAGCCTCCCACTGCTGACAGCCATTAACGCCTCTCGAGGTAGTCACGCGGAAGACACCCTGGGCCGTCGCCAAGCCTTAATCCGTGAAAAGGCCGTGACGGCGTCGTCACGGCGCTAGAGTAAGTTCAATCACCGGATCGTTAGCTTGCTAGAGCGTTATCTGTCGGCGCCTCAGCTCGGCCGTCCCGCAGCCTACGCTCACCGCGTCCCGCTCCCCGACAGCGTCTGACCCGTTCCAGTCGTCGCAGTCGCCACTCGAGTTCGTGGCGCGCGGCGCGGTACTCGCTCCACGCCTGCGGAAGTCACGAGCGGTGCGTGCTGTCCCGGCTCAGCGAGTGCCGACAAGCACCGTCCCCCCAGGCGGTCCGGCGGTGCGGAGTCGCCCGGAAAGGGTGCCATCGGGCCACTGACACTGACCGAGGCCGGCCCAGGGCTGGGGGAGGTCGGAGGGGGGGGGAGCGATCGGCACGTCCCGGGCGCCACCGCCTCAGCAGCCGAGGTCGCGGGAGGTCGGAGGTTGGACGTCGGAGGTCGGAGGCCGGAGGTCGGAGGTCGGAGGTCGGAGGTCGGAGGGTGGGGAGGGGGAGAGTGCGATCGGCACGTCCTGGGCCGCCGCCGTCCCAGCGGCCGCTGCCGGGGAAGTTGGAGTGTGGGAGGGGGAGGGGGAGGGGGGGGGGGGGAGGTGGCGATCGGCGCGACCCGGCCGCCACCATCTCAGCGGCCGCGCCCAGAATAGTCGCGACGCCGCCAGCCGGGCCCCCGTCCAATAAATCGGCACAAATCGCGTCCGGGTGTAGCCGCTCGAGCGGGGCCGGCGGCGGGCGCCGGCAGTGGGCGCCGTCAGCGGCCCGCCCGACGCGCCGGTCAGTCGTGCCCGCCACTCACTGCAGCCCGTTGACTGTTGTACAGACCGAGAGCGGCGATCAGCCCGGTAAGAGCTCGCCAACCCGACGTGATTCATGTAAACACGTTGCTAAGCCGCCATTGGGGCAGGTGCTCAGATCGTGAGGATGCTGTCGATATGGGTTTAAAAAGGCGAGCCACAGATTTAGGCTTTGCACACCCATGGTCTTGTGATAAGGTGGCATTTCATCGAGACCCTCCCGAAACGAGAAAATCTTTAGCCGTTGCAATGTGACGTAAGTATAAAGTTGACCTGTTGCCGAGTGGATGGACGTACAATCAAGGGATACAACCCACAGATGTGGACGTACCGAATACTACATCTAATGCACACAGCCAGGTGCGCACCCGGCGGGACGACCGGCAGCGCCGGTTCAAACTCATACCTATCTGATTTGCACGAAATGAATGCATGGTGCGGATGGGCGCCGCTGCATAGAGCCGTTGCTTTTGAAGTGGCAGCAATTCGTCGAGTTCGATCGAGCTTCCCGTCTGTCCATTACCGACCTGTCACGGTGCGGGGTGGGCTCAATCTGCTGGAGGACGGGCATCGACCGGATGAGCCGGACCTATCACAGTCGGTCCGCGTCCGGCAAGCTTTTGGGCGTGTTGTAGCGAATCGAATGCGAGTTGGAGTGATGCATTTCTCAAGGAAATTGGCTGCAGTGGCGATCCAATAAAAGCCGCTTGCGCGCCGCATCCGCCCCCTTGACGCGAGCGGGCGTCGTGAAACGCGCGCGCCATCTCGCTGGGCCGGGTGCCTCAGTTGGGATCCACCGAGAGCGCGTCCTTGGCGCACGGAATCCATGCGATTAGTGTGCAACGTGTCCTCCATGCGAGGAACTCGTCGTCATGTGTGTCTGCTTGATGAAAATTGGGCGGGAGATGTCTTTCTAACGAAGATTAAGTTGTCGGCTAGTTCCCCATAAGGGCCATTTGTAACTGCCCCTCAGAAGCTCTGGGATTATATGCTGGCTTCGTGCGCTGCTTGGACCCTATGGATTTCGGACGGCAAAAAGCGACGCGACTCATGCGCCTTAGCCCCAAATATTCCTTTTTGGTGCCATGCACACGAACTGTGAGCTGGTATCCTATGGCGTTGATAAGGTAATGTTATGTGGAATTCACTCCCTGTTAACCCAATGGCTGAACGCAGGGCTCGTGTGGAAAACCCCGGTTCGAATCCCAATAACTCCATGTAGAATATTCTGGTTGTGACCCGTGCATAGCTGAAAGTTAAACGACATTACGTTTTCTTAGGATCCAGTAACGCCTGACAACGGTCGGAAAACTGACTGGCCGTAAGCCGTTTGTATAATTACATATCAGGGGAGAACGATAGTCCGAACAATTATTTAATCGGTATGCTACTGTTGACGCCACTTATTTGTGCTGTCTCCTAAACTCCGGTGAGAAAACACACTGCCTGCGCAAATGACCCACTTTCATTCACAGCTGCTGTAGTTTAAGGCTGCATGCCTGTTTAAGAACAAAGTTGCTAATAGTTAAACCGGAACTACTGCGCGTCCAATGTCGGCCGGCTTAGATGCACGTTAAAAATAACCGCATTTTCGCCGCTCCGTATCTGATGGTTTAACTTAATTGCTCTATTTTTACCACGCAAAATTTACAGTATCGGTAACGGAATTGAGGTTGAAACTTCATGCGTGTGGGAGTCTTAGGGCACTTCGGACACTGATCCCAGGGTCAATCTCGTTTGAGCTTACTGGACCTGGAAGCGACGACCTAGGACGCACAAATCGGCTAATGCGCCATTTGAAAAATGCTAGTTCACTAATCCACCATTGTTAGCTAAATCCTTGCTAATCACCGCTGTCAGCTCGTTGGCCGTACAGAAATAGCATCGATTTGGAATTTGATGAAGCAGGAGCAATTAGGCTGAGCTCTCCTTGACGCGTCCGCTGCTTTGGGACGTAGACGTGACGGAACCCGCCATTTCGTGGGAAATGCGGCGTCGGGCGAATCGAGGTGGCTTGGCACGTTTTCTGACGCTGCCTTCTTCAGCTACGGGCTGGGATACCGGGGCATGTGATTCTCTTGTCTAACTATTTGGGAAGGAGCAAAGACAATTTTGCGCAATTTCAACAACAACCCCCTTTTCTCTAGTTTAGGCGTTTTGAGACTTGTGCCCACGGAATGGTGTGGGTTATTTGGTGCGTAGCTGCGAGTGGTCTTGAAAGAGATGTTTTGCTTCTGCGACAGAGAAACTGAGGAATCGATCATGCTTTTCGTGATTCCGAGCAATAGGCATCAGTCATGAGGTGCAAAACACCGTATTGTATGGCCATAAGTTAATCGATGTCATCACACGTCAGGATGGAGCAAAATATTGCAGCGACTTCCCGCGCGGATACTCATTTCATGAGGATAGATGCGTCCCAGGTGAGACGAAGTTTACTGTAAAATATCAGTGGGCTTACATGCATTATATGAGAACTTCTCGCGGGGTAACGTTAGATAATGGCATGGATTTTCTGGAACCATGTCAAGGCCATGACGGACTGAGCATTTGTCGTAAGTTATTCCTAGTGGCTTAATTTTACGGATGCCACGAAAATGGGCGTGACTGTGTCCTCCTAGAGGAGCGGAGGGCAGGGAGTCGGCCGCCCTCCAACCTCGGTAAGACAGCAGATGTCCTGCATTGTGTGGTTCCCGCACGCCAGGCAAGAATCGGCCCTCGTGCACAGCGTCGATGCACGTTTTCGTGATGGTAAGAACGGCTTCAACGCTAGCAGGGAAGTCACCAGGATCTTCATAACGGAGTTGGTCAGGGCTGTGTGAGAAGCAATCACATCTGATGTTTTACTTTTGATCAGGAGCCATCTACGGTCATAAAAAAGACGGACCTAGGGTGGCGATCTCACCCTTGGCTGCACTCCAGGGCGCCAAGCTTTATTATGCTTTTTGTGAAAGTGTTTATTTCGATTAGCATGCTGCAGGTGATCTCCGTGTTGCATTCCCCGAGTTTGTGCGAGGACCCGGGAGCGTGTTCGTGCCTGCCACGAGTCGAGTGAGCGCCGCTGTGCTGATCTGCCGCTGCGTGGTCAGAGCGCTCATGACTTATTCCGCAGTTACTTCACATCACAAATACGTGCTCGCGTCTCACAGGCGGGCTGCAGTCAGGTCTGATCCACATCCAGTCGCAAACTGTGGTTATAAGCTTTTGGTACTCTCCACATCCTTCAATACAATTCAAAAGGCGGGTGTGCCCAACTTGTCGAAAGCTGTATGCGGAAATCGCTTGGCGTCTATATTTGCTCGCGTTCTTCACGTATGAGTGGGAGCCATCGTAGTAGCCGGCGCGCGTTGAGCAAGCTGTTTAGGCAGCGGGAGTTTGTACTGGTTGACAGATACCCCTTGTTTGGTTACACAGTGACGTGTTTATCCGTCCTCATCGTCGGCAGACCTTTTGCTGATTTTGCTGACGGGCCGTGACGCTGAGTGTTGCGGTATGCTGATGGCTTGCTGACGGCCTGCTGACAACCTGCTGACGGCCTGCTGACAGTCTGCTGTCGGCCTGCTGACAGTCTGCTGACGACCTGCTGACAGCCTGCTGACGGCCTGCTGACAGTCTGCCGACGGCCTGCTGATGGCCTACTGACGGCCTGCTGACAGCCTGCTGACGGCCTGCTGACAGTCTGCTGACGGCCTGCTGACAGTCTGCTGACGGCCTGCTGACGGCCTGCTGACAGTCTGCTGACAGCCTGCTGACAGCCTGCTGGCAGCCTGCTGACAGCCTGCTGATGGCCTACTGACAGCCTGCTGACAGCCTGCTGACGGCCTGCTGACAGTCTGCTGACGGCCTGCTGACAGTCTGCTGACGGCCTGCTGAGAGTGCTCCGGTTGATACCGCGTGACCGCTGGCAGGTTCTGGAGCGCTCCTGGACGACCGTGGACGGCGTAAATGTCTCGCTGCGCCTCTGGGATACCTTCGGAGACCACGACAAATACCGCAAATACGCCTACCTCAAGTAAGCTCGCCTGCGATGGTGAAAGGGCAGGCGTCGCCGAAGGAATGTGTGGCCACTAGCAGGCCGCGAAATGTCCGACTGTTTATATCTAATATTGGCAGCTGCGTGCGAGCACAAATATAGCGGGCTGAAGGCTTGAGTTTTGGGAGCAAAACAGGTGTCCGGGCCATGATGACCTGAGCCTGCGGTGCGCGCGCTAGAGCCACGGGTTTGGCCCCGGTTCAGGAAGGCCATCTGCTGTCGCTATTGGCAGGGGACGTGGGGGAGACGTAGGTGCGGTGGAGATGGCCAGTGCTGGGCGTGAGAGTCTGTGGTGCCGTGTGTAGGGGGAGGATGACACCATATGAATGGCTGCCGATGTGGTCGCAGCTGAGTCAAGAGGCGATGCTCTTGCATAGCTCCAGCGCTGCACGGGCCGTGACGCTGGGCTATCTGGTCAGCGACCTGCTGGGAGGCTGTGGTCTGACCGCTGCGGGCTAACCGCTGCAGGGTGACCGCTGCAGGGTGACCGCTGCAGTCTGACCGCTGCGGTCTGACCGCTGCGGGGTGACCGCTGCGGTCTGACCGCTGCGGGCTAACCGCTGCAGGGTGACCGCTGCAGGGTGACCGCTGCAGGGTGACCGCTGCAGGGTTACCGCTGCGGTCTGACCGCTGCGGGGTGACCGCTGCAGGGTGACCGCTGCGGTCGGACCGCTGCGGCTGACCGCTGCGGGCTAACCGCTGCAGGGTGACCGCTGCAGGGTGACCGCTGCGGGTTGGTTGCAGGTCGGACGTGGTGCTCATCTGCTTCTCGGTGGGCAGCCAGAAGTCGCTGCGCAACTGTCGTCAGATCTGGTACCCAGAGATCCGACGCTTCTGCCCCGACACGCCGGTGGTCCTGGTCGGCTGCAAAAATGACCTGAGGTGGGTGCTGCACGCCGTCGGCCGACGCCAGGCAGTACGCTGGCTGGCCGCTCTTGTTAGGAGCATAGGCGTATCATACTGTCACATTTAGGGCTTGCCTTGGTTTGCATGGTGGTTGTCCTCCCTGTGTCGGTGTGAAACTTGAGTTACATTGAAGCAAAAAATAAAAAGAAAAAAGCAACAACAAACAAACAAAAAAGCCAAAAATCAGAAACAATGGAAGGCTTGAGAAGCAATTTTGTTGTGCTGATTTTTGCTTTCAGCTTGAATAACGGTGTAAGTGTGCGAGGTTTATTTGTCATACGGCTGCTGACAAACTATGCCTTCCAAAATTCAGTTGCGACCATTGTTTTTTCTTTTCCATAAGTCAACACCACAAGAACAACACAAAGACTGGGGTTAAAACATTTGGCCAGTTCCGCCGCCCCGGAATAGAGCGCATATCATTATCGCATCACAAATAAGGACGGTGGAAGTTGGCAAACGCAGTGTTTATTAACCGGACGAGAGCGGAGGCGTGCGCTGGTCTGGTTTTAACGGTCGGCGCTGACCCGTTTGGCGTAGATGGTGGGCTTAACTTGTGATGCGTTGTCCGGACGTTATGGGTGGGGTACTTAGACTATGAGACAATGTCTGTCTTGAGCCGCCTGTCCCGCCCTGATCCGGCACTTTCTAGACGGTAATATCTTTGCGACCACTGACTGCAGCCTCATGCAGTTTTCAGCAACAAGTAGTCCAATTATTTAAAACTTTGCTGTATGTGATCATTTGCTCACAAGCTGTTCAACCATGCGTAAAGTTCCTCCAGCATCGCAACTGGGAAATAGATAAAGTGTTCCCTATTTCATTAGAAATTAAAACCTGACTTGACAGAAATGTAAGGACACTGGTTGAAACGGGCTTAGATCTCATGGACTCAGCGCTGCAGTGAAATCAGGCCAACTGATTGAGAGGGAAGAAAGAACGCATAACGATATTGGCAAACGGGTGGGTTGATGTTTGCATCCTACCCGCGTCTTCGTGCGCACATCATTTTGTGCAAACGCAAGCCCGTTTTTGGAACTTACCCATGGGGTCGGGGGAGACGTTTGTAAGAAGCAGTGCAAGATATGGGCAACCAGAGCAGATAAGAACGTGACAACAGGAACACGACAAAGGCAAATGTGCAAAATCGCCAAGCAATCTGAAAACTGTCCGACCAATACTTGCATTGGAAATTGACTCGGAGGCAGACAGCGTCATGCAGCTGGTGTATGTTGAGCCACAGACAGCATAATGCGGTGGACCCTTCCTCCGTCTGCTCTCGGCCGTCCGCAGGCGGCAGCATCATGCGGTGGACAGTTCCTCCGTCCGTCCCCAGCGCCCAGCGTCCGCCCTCGGCTGTCCGCAGACAGCATAGTGCGGTGGATCCTTCCTCCGTCAGTACCCAGCGCCCAGCGTCCGCCCTCGGCCGTCGGTCGTGCGCCGTCCGCGGGTCAAACTGGCCAGGCCGGCCATCAGCAGGGGTCATCGACTTGTCATGTCATGTCATGTGATGTCATGTCCTGTCACGTGGCCGGGGTCAGGCCGCGTCTCGCGGCGGCGCATTCTGAGCGGATGTGTTGTACACAGACGCATGTGAGTCGGACAGCATGTGCGAGCGTGCCCCATCCTCAATGGCACGTCCAGGCTGCCGGCAGCTCAGCGCCGCCGACGGAAGGCCTCCCTGTTCTGGAATACCTTGTGCAGCGGTGTAAGCGTCTCCACAGCCGGCTGTTCGCTGGCGGTGCTCAGCTTCCGCCGCTGTCCATTGCAGACGGCCGGGCGGGGCGGAGAAGGAAAACAAAAAAATAAAAAGGGGAAATAAGCGCTGCGGTCCTGCTCGCTGAGAATGAGAGAGTGCGAGCGTTGAAGATGGTTTAGTTGTTTTCTCTTCTTGTTTAATTCCCGGAGGATCGGGGCAAGAGCTAAGGAGCCAGATGTTGTTTTGGCTGCGCGGGACAGGACGGCGAGGCCGCTGGGCGTGTTGCTGGAGCTCGGACTCCGCCAGGGGCAGGTGACGTGCGGGTGTCGGGCGCCTTGTCCGGCCGCTAGTTCGGTACGCTGCCCTCTACCGTCGGAGCGACGGGCCGTGTCGTCGCCAAAAAGTAAAATAAAATGAAAGAACCGTGATACCTGCCGCGTTGAGGCCCTTCCGGGGCCGCCGAGCCAGGGTCAGTTAATGGCGCGGCGAAGGCATTATTAATCAACAGGCGCGCGTCAGGTGAAGCTAGGCCACTCCCTGGGTGGGTGCGGCACGCGACACCATTAATTGTGATTTGCCGGTCGGTGCCGCGGGCTGCTGACGGGGCAGCGATCCGAGCTCCGCCCCCCCCCCCCCCCCCTCCCTCGCTCCATGGAGACGGGCAGGCCGACTGGTCAGCTTGTGCTGCGGGAACCGGGAAACAGGGCGATTAGGGTGGAGAACGACGCACCTGTAGAAGGCCAGATAACGGGCGGCAGGCAGGAGGGCAGATGGCGCGGTAGTTGTGATTAGGCAGGCTGTGGATGGTCGTTTTATTGGAGGCTGCTTCAGTATTATTTAGGTAGTTCATTTGTGGCATTCGGTTTGGTAGCTATCAAACTTGGATCACGAGTGCATACGGCCACCGTTTATAATAGCCATTCGCCGGTTGAACAAACGTAGCATGTTTCTATCGCTAAAATGCTTAGATCTGTGTAAATCTGTTTGGTGCGCTAATTTAAATGATGCAATATCATGTTTTTCACTTACATAGTTGATGCATTACCCTAATGCCTGTGCAGTACTGGCCGCTGGTAAACATGCATTGCAAAACTGCAACATTTTACTCAGCACGGTTGTCGCTGCACGTCACGCAACGGCTGCAAAAATGGCACCGATACTGCGCAATGACCTCATGAGGCTAGACTCCCCCTTCCCCCCCTCCAACACCTCATGAGGCTGGACCTCACTGCCTTCAACACCTCATGAGGCTGGACCTATCCCGCCTCCAACACTTCATGAGGCTAGACCTCTCCCGCCTCCAACATCTCATGAGGCAGGACCTCACTGCCTCCAACACCTCATGAGGCTAGACCTCTCCCGCCTCCAACATCTCATGAGGCTGGACCTCACTGCCTCCAACACCTCATGAGGTTAGACCTCTCCCGCCTCCAACATCTCATGAGGCTAGACCTCTCCCGCCTCCAACATGTCATGACGCTAGACCTCTCCCGCCTCCAAGAGCGGGCTCATGAGGCACGCAGAGCGAGAGGAGATGGTGCGTCGTTCACGACAGACGTGCGGCATGATGTCACTGCTCCCCGGCTCCGCAGGAGCGGCGGCGGACTTGGTCGAGCCGCCGGCGGGGCCGGAGCGGCCTCTGTACTAATTAAATGTGCCTGTGGTGCGTGTGAACCCTCAAGCCTCGCTGAGATCTCTCCTCGCCCGTGCCGGCAGGTACATGTGCATGGATGAGACGTACATCAACTACTGCAAAGATCGCAGCCCATTCATCAGGTGAGACCATCACAGCGGGCCGTGGCTGACCACAACAGACCTTCACTGATCTCAATAGACCTGCACTGATCTCAGCGGAACCCACTGACTTCAGCGGACCCTGACTAACCACGGCAGACCCTCATTGATCTCAGTACACTTTCTCTGATCCCAGCATACCATGGTGACCAAAGATGACCCTCACTGATCCCAGTAGACCGCCCACTGATCCGAGCAGACTGTGGCCGACCACAGCTGACCTTCTCTGATCGCAGTGGGCTCTGAATGGCAACAACAGCTGACTCTAACAGACCGCAGCTGTCCCTGGCGCGTCGCCATGGGCAATACCCGACCCGACTGACCTGGATGACCTCAGCTGATTAGGACCAATCTACTCCGGACATTCTTTGACTGACTGTCCTGAGCAACCTCGATGGCCTCGACCACCCCTCAGCGGTCCAGGGAACCCGTGGAGAACAGCTGTAGTGGCGGTCAGCCGACTGGCCGGATGACAGCCTCTCCGACACCGGGCGCTCCGACACTGGCCGCTCTGACACTGACCGCTCGGACACCGGCCCCTCCGACACCGGCCCCTCCAACACCGGGCGCTCCATCACCGGTCGCCCCGACACCGACCGCTTCGACACCGGCCGCTCCGGCACCGACCGCCCCGACACCGGCCGCTCCGACATCGACCGCTCCGAAGGACTCCGGCTGGACTCGGATGCTCCGAGCTTCCCCAGGCACCCGTCGCTGGCACGCCCATATCGCTAGCGCCCCCGGCTAGCTAGTCGCTGCATGTACGTCACCGGACTCGCGCGGTGGCGGGCGGTGGTCATGAGCTCAGTTTTCCCGGAGTGAGCTGTTTGTTCCTGCATTGCTTCCGCTGGCTGGGTGTACCCCATGGGGCAGTCCGATGTATCTGTTAGTGGGTGTCTTAGACCAGGAGGCTTGTTGCCGGATAGCGGTGGCTCGGGTCAATACACGGAGCCGTGAAACTGACGCATGACAACCGTGGCTGAAGTTGTGAAACTTAACCTCCTTTAGAGTCTGCGGGGACAACTTTTTCTGCAGCCTCAGATGTCTCTAAGCCGGAAGAGTATTTGTTGGCCTTCTTTGTGAGTTATGGGGCATGACGTTGAATCTCAATGAGGTGCGTTCGGGGACAGGCCGGAAGAAGGCCGCGGCACAACGCTCGAAGGTCTCAATGCACGCACAACTTTTAGGGTCCACAGGAGAATGTAGAGAGGCCAAACCGGTCTCGCGTCTTCGTGCGGCGCCCCCGCACACACGCACGGCATTCATGTCACTTCCACCCCGAGATAGTGTCCTTCACAACGCTGTTTGGAACTGTGACGGCCGGGTTGATAACTTCTGTATTCACCGGCGCGCGTGCCGCCACGGCCCGCGCGGCGCACCCGCGCCGGCGCCCTGACGTGTGCTCTCCTCTGCCCCTGTTCTGCGCGCGTGCTGCGTCGGCGCCGGTCATCGCGCGTGGCTCCGTCCGGCGCTCGCTCGCCGACCACGCAGCCGCCACCTGTGAGTACCGAGCGTGCGCGCCTGCGGCCGGCGCTCGCGCCGCGCACCCGCCGCCGCCGCCTGCGCACGCCCGCCGCGCTCAGCACCGCCCCGTTGTCGGCGTGTGTGTGGAGCACGGCCCGGCGCATGTCAAGCGCTTGGTGCGGGGGCGGGGCGGGGTGTGGTGTGGTGTGGCACGCAGCCGGGCACGCGTTACACGTGTTAGTGAAGGCATCGGAAAGGCAGCGCGCTGGGATGGCCCTCGCTGCGACGGCACGGTCGTTGTGATAACCCGATCAACGCCTGGGGCATGGCGTCGTTTTCCCGGGCTGTCGTTAGTTCAGCCCCGAAGGCCCGGCACGGCCTTTAGGGTCACGGAAAGGTCATTGAGAAGAAGTTGTGCTCTGCTGTGCTGACGAAGCTGCACATCCGTCGGCAGAGCGGGGGGGGGGGGGGGGGGAGGCGCACCATAGGCACAAACCAAACAAACAGCTGACGTGCGTTTGTGTGCGGGGTGTACCGACCGCCCGCTGGGAAACTCCGCTCAGACTGTTTGTTGGGGTAAACACACGCGGAGGTGTGGATCAGGAGGTGTCGCTGGCTGGCCTGCCGTAGGGCCGCTGCTAGCCGACGCTGCGGTGTAGCTTTTAGGATTGGCATGGTTAACTAGCTGGTCAGAGGGTTCCGAAGTCTTCCAAAGCTAGATTTGTAGTACTTCAGTCGGATGGCTGGCCGTTCTCCGTCGGTTCGGTTTGTCGCAAGCTTGCCTACCGCAGGAGGAGAATATTGTGTTTGGTGCGTGTGTGACACAGAAGCCTGAATCAAATACGTCCGACCAGGCATATGTCGATATTTTTCCTGAGGGCGCGGCGCAACGAGCTGACTGGCAGCCGTCGCTGGCGGTGGCGCTCTGAATGAACGGCACCGAAAGGTGCTCGGTGCCGCATCTGCACCGCCACGGGCACCGTCCCACCAATCACCGATCGGCACCAACGGCAATGACACCACCAGTCCCGCAGAGGCGACCGCGCCGACACCAATCGTCCAATGACATTCTGGCGCCGGCCAGCACACCTGGCGCCAGCCGCCCAGCCCCACCGCCCCTCCCACCTCGGGCGCCAGGGGCCGCGGGGCACGCGGTCCGGGCTGGCGGCGTCGCCGTGCCATCGCGGCGGCCCGGCCGGCTCCGCGCCGCGGCACACTCCTCAGCAGGGTACGCGTGGTGGAGGCCCCCGACATTCTACAGGGGAAGTTTAAGTGACCTGCTCGTGGTGCAGACACGCGTTTCCATGTATACACAGCATGTCTGTGGATTGGTTTGTCTGATGAGGCGGCCATCGCTGGCGCCATCGCGATGCTATGGAAGCGATGAACCCCTGCCAGCAACGGGTCATCTCTCCCCGCCGATGCCATGGCTTCAGGTGATTCAATTTTCAGCCATTCGACCTTTTTAGGGTTCAAGCTCCAAGGCTTCAAATCCCGACAGGGCTTTGAAGAGGTAGCTTGTGGCTGATGCCAAGGCGTATGTATATCATTCGGCTGACACCTTTACGACGTCGAGGTGGGCTTGACGATCTTTCTTTACGACCTTCCCAGTCATTTTGCACCGAAATCCTTGGTTCTTTCGAAGACTAGTCTTTTATAAACCCCATGGTCTTAGATGTATCTACCAGTCGCTTGACATAGCGACACGGCATTGGAGCTGGCTGGATCCATTTCAGCGCGCTTCCGTAAGTCCTTCCGTCGAACCTTTCAGCCTTAGCACGGCTTGGGGAGCGGCGAGGTTCTTCGCTGCTGAGCGGCGTCCTGAGCCGGCAGAAATGCCGTCTGTTTCCGCACCAGTGGTCTGCATTAGCACAAGGAAACTGTCCCCGGCGCTCGTGTGGCCGACGTGGACCGCGCGACTCTCGCCGAAAATGGGTCCTCTCGGCAGCTCTCCCGGCTGCGGCCTCAAAAGAGGCGTGTCACGTGGACCCGCCGTGGCTGAACCGCCGCTGCGCTTGGTGCCTGACAGTCGGGCGCGCCGTCTCAGAGCAGTGGTGCTGGGTTGGACGCTTCGTCTCACAATGCTGCCTTCGATGAGGGTACTGCGGCGACGCTTCATAGAATCGCATGCAGGCGTTTGTCGCGGAAGGCACGCATCGCTGGTCTGATGCTGCCACTGCATCAGAAGCCGTCGCCGAATCCCGCCGGAAGTGTGGGATTTCCGGCCACGGAGTGGTCGATTTCCTCATCGTGAACCCTGCAAAGGGATTTAAACCGGGCGGTATTTTACGCCTCGCGCCGCACGTAGCCCTAGAACACCCGTCAGCTTCTGGAGGGAAAAAGGGCGTAGCGCCGAAAAATGTTGCCTTTTCAGCAGGATGTAATTGTTGGACTGCACTGGCTCAAACACCACCCCTGTAAAGCTTTTGCCACATCGCTTTTTCCGCTGTCCCCGCCCTCTCCCGCGCCCCATGGACTTTGTCTTTCGTTCGCACCCTGGCATAGCATGCTGTTATGCCACGCATGTGCGTACCTTGTGCCGATATGTGCAGCAGTGCTTCCGAACGCATCAGCTCCGCTTCAGTTGCTCGTCTTTGGCCATGATTGGGACGTCTTCCCGCCGTCAGTCGGTGTCGCAGGGAGCGCCGATGGTGATGTTTGGGGGTTTTACGAGCACATCGGTGGGCATCGCTGGAAACGCCAGGCGCAGGACGAGCTGGGCCCCAGGCCCGGACGCTGTTTGGAATCCCATTGCCACGCGATCCAAGCTGCTTAACGTACCTGAAACTGGCATCAGCCCGCCGGCCGGCCCGGAACGTGCTGCCGACCGACACCTGGTGCGCGGCCGGTCACCTGGCGCAGTGTATCGCAGAGTCTGCAGCAGACTGTCGGAGAAATTGCAGGAAAGTGCTTGACCTCCCTCCTGCTGTCCTCAGGGTTACCCGGAATAATGGCGTGGCGCTGCCCGAGCCTGACCTTCCTCCTGCCGTCCCCAGGGCTACCCGGGAGAGTGACCTGGTGCTGCCCGAGTCTGACTTTTCTCCTGCCGTCCCCAGGGCTACCCGGGAGAGTGACCTGGTGCTGCCCGAGCCTGACATCCTTCCCGCCGTCCTCAGGGCTACCGGGAGAGTGACCTGGTGCTGCCCGAGCCTGACCTTCCTCCTGCCGTCCTCAGGGCTACCCGGGAGAGTGACCTGGTGCCGCCCGAGCCCGACCTTCCTCCTGCCGTCCTCAGGGCTGCCCGGGAGAGTGACCTGGTGCTGCCCGAGCCTGACCTTCCTCCCGCCGTCCTCAGGGCTACCCGGGAGAGTGACCTGGTGCTGCCCGAGCACGGCAGGGCCGTGGCCCGCGAGCTCGGCGTCGACTACTTCGAGACGTCCGTGCTGACGTACTACGGCGTGGACCAGATGTTCGAGAACGCCATCCGGGCGGCGCTGATCGCGCGCCGCAAGAAGTTCTGGATGTCCAACCTGAAGCGCGTCAACAGGCCCATGCTGCAGGTGAGTACGTGGCTCGTGGGGGCGACGGAGGGGGGATGGGGGGGGGGTGATTGTCAGGGCTGCATACCTGCCTCGTGTGTGCGAGACGATCTGAACACGCATGTGCGAGGTGTTGCGGCGGTGGTGTAGAGCTTAAGGTGCGCAGATCTGGGCTTGTCGATCTTGGATTCGAGTCTCAGCCATGCCGCCACCGCACCCTGCATGTTGGGTGTTTTGAAGGTATTCCATTTCGAATGGCCCAGGTAGTCGGTGAGACGTGAAGCCCCAGTAATTATCACGCGCGCACGAGGTGGGTCTGGTGGCAGCGTAGCAGGCGCGCCGTGGATGACACGCGCAGTGTGAGTGTGCGGCGTGTCCCCGGCGTGTCTGGGTGGGACAAACGCGTCGCCTTTGCCTGGAGCTTGAAGTGAATCCCGCGCAAGGCTTGCATCAGCCACCACGTCTGCCATTCCTGTTCCAGCGAGGTCCCAGCAGCCTGCCATTCCTGTTCCAGCGAGGTCCCAGCAGTCTGCCATTCCTGTTCCAGCGAGGTCCCAGCAGCCTGCCATTCCTGTTCCAGCGAGGTCCCAGCAGCCTGCCATTCCTGTTCCAGCGAGGTCCCAGCAGCCTGCCATTCCTGTTCCAGCGATGTCCCAGCAGCCTGCCATTCCTGTTCCAGCAAGGTCCCAGCAGCCCTCACGGGACCTCACGGAAACACATCGTGCAACGCAGGTCTGGCTGTTTCTGAAGGTTAAAGACCTCGAATCGCTTGCCGCAGTGGAAGCGAGATATGAGACATTGCAATTTAACAAGGCCACCGGATGCGTGCGAGGCAAATTAGCACCGCCACAAATATAGTGATTTGTGTGTTTGTAAGCTTAGTCAGGTGGTGCACTAGTCAATATTTCTTATTGAACACGACGGGGAATATGCATTCGTCATCGTCTCTTGGTTTTGCTCAACTTTGGGTCAATTTGGGGAGTCCATTCGTATCACGAACCCATTTGCGTCAAATTCATACGCCTTCATATAGTGGCTTTTGGTTAAATAAGACCAGACAAGACCAAACTCGTGACCTGTACCCGAAGTGTTCCTCAGACCTCCTCACGGAACCAGCTTTAACCTGCACGCGTTTATGAAAAGGTCACGCGGGTCCATGTCAGGTCCATGTTATCTGGCCTTTAGGAGGTCAAAATGCCTTGGTTTATCGTCAGCGTCTTGTCATGCGTCTTGTTTCGTTTTCAGTATCAGAACTTGAAGATAAAAACATTGTTTACCAAAATATGCCTGATTGGTACCCATTCTGGATGTGGTTCTGTCCAATCAGAACGATGCACATCTGAGGAATGGTTTTATGACGCCTATTTTGTAGCGTCCAGGACATTCACTGTGAGTATTTAAGTAACATCCGTTATTAGCCTGTTTTCGACGTGCAATCTCTCTAATTCACCGTCCTTGTCCATCGAAATTCGCTTTAAATTACCGTCCTTGTCCATCAACATTCGCTCTAAATCACTGTCGTTGTCCATCAACATTCGCTCTAAATCACTGTCGTTGTCCATCAGCACGCTTAGTTCTCTTGTGAATTTTAAGCCAGAGCGCTCTTCAAATTTGTTTTTGAGGCGTTCTATTTGTTCTCAGTGTCCCTAACCCCCACTAAGATATCGTCTACATAACGGCAGTGAATGTCAGGCCTTACGCTGCCATTTTGTAGCACGTTGGCTTCTTCTTAGCCCACAAACAACTTAGCGAATAAAGGCCCAAAAGGAGGGATCGTCGCAACAATCTCAATTTAATAACACATTTTTACATCAGGCCCGCGAGAAGGGACTTCCAGGGTACAAACTTTTAGTAATTGTTGAAGAAGACACCCTCTTTATGGGATATGTAGAAGCCAACCTACTACAAATTTCGAAATAGGACCTGACATTTACCGTCGCTTTGTAGACGATATCTTTGTGGTTAATGGGTGTACTGAGCACCTAGAACGTCTCAAAAACACACATGGAGGGCGATCTGGCTTAAGATTCAGAGCATAACTGGGTGTGCAAAATGTAATACCCCTTCTTGATGTGACTTGATGGACAAGGACAGCGGTTCAGAACGACTGTATATCGAAATCAAAGTAACAACGGACGCTGATGAGATGCTAGCGAAGAATGTCCTGAACGTTGCCAAATTATCGACATAAGACTATTCCCAAGACGCGCATTTAAGCATTGGTCCGATTGGATAGAACCACTTTCGGAATTTGTACGAACCAGGCAGAATATGGTGATTTTTTTCTTCAAATTCCGACACTGGACTCGAAATACGACACACGGCAAGATACTGACAGTAAACCAAAACAAGGCAAATCCTGTTTTATGAATATAAAATGACATCTCCTGTCAACAGGACGAAAAAGTAACACGCGAAGGCGTCTCTTAACACGCAAAAGTCAAGGACGACTACAGAATATGCATGGCCATATCTTTTCGCAACAGGAGAATTGCCAGCTCTCGTATGCGGGACAGCGTAGACAAATCCGACAAGCTGAAATGCACCGAGGTAGTGTATCAATTCAAATTTAGTGTCAAGGGTTGCAAGATTCGTTTCATACGCTGCGCTGGCGTGACTACGACACTTTCATGACGCCTGACAATGCACTTACACGTCGGGACACCCCTAAAGGACATGCGACACGAACATGATGTGACATTAACACGACAAGTGACGGACGACGCTGACATCCTTCAGATAAGCAATCACGGAAGTCATCTTTTAATTTGGGAAAACATGTTTATCAACGAGCTCTCTCCAACCCCAAACAAACAAATTTCTGCACATTTTTGAAGTTATTATGTACTGTAGTAGCTACTGTAGTGGCTACGTAGCTACTGTGGTAGCTACTGTACTTTGGCAGCTACTGCTGCTACCTAGTAGCTACCTAGTACTATGGTAGCTACTGTAGTAGCTATGGTAGCTACCGTAGCCCAAATAATATTGGTTGTAGCTATGTGATTGCCTTTGAAATGTTTTTATTTCGGTATGATATATTTATTGCGCGCATTGTTTAATGTGCATTTTACACGTATTCATGTAACGATAGGAATAGTTGTTTTTCCGTACTAAAATAAAGTTATCAGAAAGCGGTGAGCAATTTATGCTCAAAACGTATTTTTGTGCCGTTTGTATTTATCCGATGATGGAGTACGACTTCGAAACGTTGGTATGTCCAAATGCCGATGAACGTATGAGTGATTTTGTATGAGCAATATTTCATCTGAACTATTATACTACTAAGTCGAAATCCCGGAACCTCGGACGATGCATTAGGACGATTACTAATGTGAAACCAACGGTACTTTTTCATCAAGCATACCAAACCAAGCATACCATGAAGAAATGGACATATGCGTATGCATATATATATATATATATATATATATATATATATATATATATATATATGTATGTATGTATATATCAACACGATGCAAGTAGCTTCTATGGTACGCACGGAAGCATAACGCACGCAGGATTCCATTGGGAAAGCCCTACCTCACGCTTGTTGTGTACCGGTCCCCGAATACTTAAGCGCCGTGCCGTGTAGTGGGTACGTTTCCAACCGTTGGGCGACATGGACGTGGCCTGGAGCGGCCAATTGCAATGTGCCGTGGGGGCCAATCACAGGTCATCAGTGCACCGCTAAAGTCACGAGCTGCCCCAGAACCCAGACGAACCGTTCGGCTGTGACTGACGATCAGGATCAGCCGGACCACATCTAGCCGGGATCGCGTGTGGAGCGTGTCATGTCGCACGTATTTCCCAAGCTCAATTTGTGAAAGGACCCAACCGAATCAGGAAAACGCTTTAACCAAGTCGCAAACAGGCCGAGCCGGCCTTCGTCGCCCGTGGGTGGTCTTTCCGCGGGCATGTATCATGCCACATTTGGCTGCGGGCCGTTTGGCTTCGAGTCTGTGCGCTCGCGCTGGAGGCGTGACTCTCGTCTCGGGCACAGGACGACGGAACCTTTGTTCGGGCTGCACGTGCAGCCTGGGGTGAGTCAGCCTGGACAGCTCGTGCTGGGTGTGGTGCCTCTCCACTGGGCGCGAGGGCGGGGCGGTGGCCCGCCGGGCACCTCATCCCGCCTAGCTGGCCGGTTCGGCCACGATCGTCAGCGACGCCCGGCTCCCTAATCTGCGTCGTTACGCCGCTGACAAAGAACTGTCCTGCAGGAGGTGCCCCTACCCCGCCCTTCCGTGCCCAGCCGCGGAGTAAATATTGATAATGACAGCCGACCGGACATTCCCACCCGGTGACCGCGCAGCAACTGGTTTACATCTGAACGGCGCCGCGCTGCTCTGCGGCGTCACGCGGAAGGAGCCTCCTCCGTCACAGACAATCACGGCCGCGTCACGCGACGTGTGCTGTTGGGCGTGAGTGTGTGTGTGTATACACCGCTGCACGTCAGCTGACCTGCGGGTGCAGTGGCGGGCTTGCTCAGCGGCGGTCGGCCGGCCGCGCGCCCGGACTCGTGTCACTCACTGCTCGCCCGCGTGGCCGTAGTCAGACGTGTAAATTACAGCCCATCACAAGGCTGCGGCGTGGCCGTTCGGATTCACTGTCGCTTGCGGACCCGGTCATGGCCGTAAACAGGCTTGTTGCGCCTGTGACCCTGTGACCCCCGTGACCCCTGTGACCGTCGGCGGCGACGGGCCGGCCGTTGTTTGCGGCCGCGCCGCCGCCACTGTGACGGGCGGCCGCTTATGAAGCGGCACCCCGGCGCGCGGCTTCGGGTAGATGGCGGCCGAAGTGCCCATACGGGGAGGGGGGGGGGAGCTTGGGCGCGATCCCTTCTCCCTACGAGGGAAGAAGGGAGGTTTGCACGCCATCTTCATCTCGTCCTCTGTGAGAGAGGCTTTTACATCGTCTATCTTCCTGTGTGGGAGCGAGACTTGCGCGCCAACTTCCTCTCCCTGTGAGGGAGGAAGGCTTACACGTCATCCGTTTCTCTTTGTGCGGCAATGTCGTGGGAGGGGGGGGGGGACTTTTTTACGAGGACTAGGTTCACTGAAGGGCGCGTGGAAACAAGAGCGGAGAATGCTGATAGAAGCCCGTTTGATATGACATCCAGAACAGACCTTTTTCAATGAGAATGTGATCGAATCAAGACCATTCCAACGGCATTTTGCATAGCCGCAGCCAGCCTACCATACCGCATTCTCTACTGGCTCCCGGGAGTGGGAACGGTCCGCATACCTTGGCACAGGCTACCCTCTCTTAGGCCCTGGACCAGTGAAGCCCAAGCACTGGCTTTGTTTTTGCTGCCACTCGTGCCCACCTTTGGATCCCGCTTGGGCCAGCTGCTTCCGGCTGCCGTGCTGCCACCTGGCGTCCGTTGGTGGCCCCGGCCGTGGCAGGCTGTTCGGCCTGGCTGGCCCGCCCGCGGTCCGTCCCCTGGGGCCCGGTGGGCCCTGCGGCCGCGACCTCACGTGCCACCAGTCCCGGGAGTCGGCGCCAGCAAACAGAGCCGGCTTCCGTCCCCGCACTCGATCGAGGTCGACGCGCCGCCCGCGAGCTCCGGCCCAGACGGCGCCCCGTACCCCTGCAGAACGTCGGCAGCTGGCACTACACTGGGCGCCGCTCTGTGGTACCCTCTCCAGCGCCCCGTACCCCTGCCGACCGTCGGCAGCTGGCACTACACCGGGCGCCGCTCTGTGGTACCCCCTCCAGCGCCCCGTACCCCTGCAGACCGTCGGCAGCTGGCACTACACTGGGCGCCGCTCTGTGGTACCTCCTCCAGCGCCCCGTACCCCTGCCGACCGTCGGCAGCTGGCACTACACCGGGCGCCGCTCTGTGGTACCCCCTCCAGCGCCCCGTACCCCTGCAGACCGTCGGCAGCTGGCACTACACCGGGCGCCGCTCTGTCAAACCCCGTCCGGTGCCCTGTACCCCTGCTGACCGTCGGCAGCTGGCACTCCGCCGAACGCCCCTCTGTGGTACCCCGTCCGGCGCCCCGTACCCCTGCCGACCGTCGGCAGCTTTGACCGGGCGATTGGGATCTGTCGATCCGTGTCATGTCTGGGCTCGCGATATTGCCCAAAGGCCATCATCAGTCATGATCATCACGGATTCGCGTGTCAGCTGCGATATTACGGCCCTCGCGACAAGAGCCAATATGCATCCGTGCGTGCGTTCACATGCTAAGCACATTGAAAGGAATACGATGCAGCAATGCCAAGTGATGTGCAATGAAACATTTAAAGATCTTTTTTATGCACCTCTGCATCTGCCAACACAACTCTGTCACTGTGCCGACCGTATGCACCACGTGTTTGTTTTTCCGCGCCGTTTAACAAGCTCACAGGTCGTTTGTTTAGTTTCATATCGTCGCATTTCTCAGCCATTTGTTTTGAACTGCCCTTTCTGTAAGCAAGTTCTCGTCGACAGCTTTATGTGAATTGTCCCCAAACAGCGCTGCTAGGAATCATAATAATAACAATAACATCCGCCCTATGGGTAGCCATATGGGGTACATCTTCAAAGGTCCATGCCTTTCAAGATCTGTACTATCACATCAATTAAGCACAACATATTGCGAACTCGATCAATATTTTTCCGGTGTCAAATGCTCTAATGAGCATTGCAAGTGCTGAAAGCACCCACGCGCCATGTTCGATGTGCCCTACGCATAGCCGTCGCGCAAGACACGAATGACTTCGCGACCATCCGCCAGTGCTGCGGCACACCGCGCCCGTGTGGAGCGGGCCGTGGCGGCTAGCCCGGGCGGGGTCGGTCGGCTTCTCGTCTCCCTGACAGAGCGCCCGCTCCGCCTGTGTCCGCAGGCGCCGTTCTGCCCGCCCAAGCCCAGCCCGCCCGGTATCTTCGTCACGCCCTCCACCTTCGAGGAGAACATGGCCGCGCTGCTGGCCAACCAGTGGCACACGGACATCATCTTCCTAGTCGGCAGTGTCGGGTGCGTAACGTCCCCTGGTCGACAGTGTCGGGTGCGTAGCGCTTTCCGGCGTCGCCCCTGGTCTGCACTCAGGCACCGCACCGCCGCTGCAGCCGCCGCCGAGGCCGAGGCCGAGACCCCGCCCGCTCTGTCTTGTCTCACCCCCACACTGCACTTCGAATCGCCTGCGATGGAACCGTGCGTCCCGACAGAAGCCGTCGTGCGGAAATCGTGCGTCCCAATGCCGGATTTTTTTTCGGAATTCACTCGAAGTTAGCTCGTCTGAGGGTCTGGTGGCAAAAAGCCTGTTCCAATCTCGGGGCTTCATGCGAATTTTGTGGCATGGAGCATGCTCTGAACGCTTCGGGTTTGTGCGCTGCTTTAGCAACGAAATTGTGATGGCTCACTGCAGTTGCAACGCCGCCAGCCGTGCTCGGCTATGTACGGTTCTCGCCAAATGCGATATTACGTCTTACATTGTACTCACGTTTCCTCTACGTCCACGATGGGGAATGGCGCCACGATGGTAACGGAGCTGGCGAATAAGCTGATAACCGTATGCAGCCCAGTCCATGTTTGTGTTCAGCTGGTCACATTTCCATTCTCATATGACGTCATGCCATCGTTTGGCTCCCGTAAAGCGCATGATTGGTGCTCATGGGATGTGGAAACTGCTCATGCGTCATGCTGATCTTGAACATTTCATCACGTTGTACATGACGGTCCTGCGCACATGCGCTTGTGTGCGAGAAGTGCGCGAAACGAAAGCGGTCTGTTTGAAGCCGAAATCTACCCCGGCGCCGTTCATCACCAGTGTAGAGGGCTCCGGCTAACTGAATGGGTGCCAGACTCCCACACTACGATAAGTCAGCGCGCCGCCGGTTGCGCTGCACCCGTCGGCGCCACCAGAGGCGCTGACCCCGGGCGCATAACTGCCGCACCCACGGCGGCGCCAGGGGCGCTGACCCCGGGCGCATAACTGCCGCACCCACGACGCCGCCAGAGGCGCTGACCCCGGGCACATAACTGCAGCGCCCACGGCGGCGCCAGCGGCCGGGCCGCCGGGCTCAGACAAGAGCGGCGCCTGTCAACAGCCGCCATAAATAGGACGCCCGTAAACCAGTTTGTTCGTGTCGATTTACTATCGGAGGGGCTCCGGTCCGGCACATGATCACGGGGGCGAGGTGAACCTACTCGGCCGATGGATGGTTGTGGGTTTATGGCCGAGCGAACGAGGTCGCCTGAAAGACATGACTAGCGCTCTGGCTGCGGCTGGCAACGGGGCTGACCTGGGCTGGGGGCAGTCACCGGAGGCTGACCTGGGCTCAGGGGCAATCACCGGGGCTGACCTGGGCGGGGACAGTTACCGGGGTTGACCGGGGCTCGGGGGCAGTTACCGGGGTTGACCTGGACTCGGGGGCAGCCACCGGGAACTGACCTGGACTGGAGGGCAGTTACCGGGGTTGACCTGGACTTGGGGGCAGTCACCGGGGGCTGACCTGGGCTGGAGGGCAGTTACCGGGGTTGACCTGAACTTGGGAGCAGTCACCGGGGGCTGACCGGGGTTCGGGGGGCAGTCACCGAGGAGCCGACCTGAGCTCGTGGGCAGTCACCGGTGCTGACCTGGACTCGGGGGCAGTTACCGGGGTTGACCGGGGCTCGGGGGCAGTTACCGGGGGCTGACCTGGACTCGGGGGCAGCCACCGGGAACTGACCTGGACTGGAGGGCAGTTAGCGGGGTTGACCTGAACTTGGGAGCAGTCACCGGGGGCTGACCGGGGTTCGGGGGGCAGTCACCGAGGAGCCGACCTGAGCTCGTGGGCAGTCACCGGTGCTGACCTGGACTCGGGGGCAGTTACCGGGGTTGACCTGGGCTGGGGTAATCACCGCGGCTGACCTTGGATCCGAGTAGTCCCCGGGGCTGACGGGGGCTCATGGAAGTCACCGGGGCTGACTACCCTGTTACCAGGCTCTCACACCAGAATCCTACGCGATGGGTGGCCTTAAGCGTCTTGCTTGGCAGATGCAGCCCCGGGCTTTAAATGGGGCTTGACTAAACCGGAAATCGCGTGGTTAACGTGAACGACGGAATTAAAGCGCCGAGGATCAGTCAACAGCTGCAAATCTGTGTCTTGAGCGGCCACGGCTGGCGCCCTGCCACTGCTATGTCCTGCCCCTGCCCGAGGGTAATGGCGGTCGCCCCTGCGATTCTCCGGCCTGGGTGCGTCCTCGGCCGCGGGAAGTCCGGCGCGGCTCCGGCTTTGTCGACGTCCCACAGCGCATCGGACCGACCGGTCGGCCGTTGCGCCGCCAATCGACTGGCTCGGCCCGATTTGGGCTGGATGACGGTGCTGGCTGGGCAGATTCACGGGGCCGTTCTCGGCGGCTAGACGGAGTTTGGCTCCAGTCCCTGCAGGAGGCGTTACAGCTGGCGCCATATGTCTTGTGTGCCGCCGGCGCTGGATAGAGTTTGGCTCCGGTCCCTGCAGGAGGCGTTACAGCTGGCCCCATGTGTCTTGTGTGCCGCCGGCGCTGGACAGAGTTTGGCTCCGGTCCCTGCAGGAGGCGTTACAGCTGGCGCCATATGTCTTGTGGGCGCTTGACGGAGTTTGGCTCCAGTCCCTGCAGGAGGCGTTACAGCTGGCCCCATATGTCTTGTGTGCCGCCGGCGCTGGACAGAGTTTGGCTCCAGTCCCTGCAGGAGGCGTTACAGCTGGCCCCATATGTCTTGTGTGCCGCCGGCGCTTGACGGAGTTTGGCTCCAGTCCCTGCAGGAGGCGTTACAGCTGGCCCCATATGTCTTGTGTGCCGCCGGCGCTTGACGGAGTTTGGCTCCAGTCCCTGCAGGAGGCGTTACAGCTGGCCCCATATGTCTTGTGTGCCGCCGGCGCTGGACAGAGTTTGGCTCCAGTCCCTGCAGGAGGTGTTACGGCTGGCCCCATATGTCTTGTGTGCCGCCGGCGCTGGATAAAGTTTGGCTCCAGTCCCTGCAGGAGGTGTTACAGCTGGCCCCATATGTCTTGTGTGCCGCCGGCGCTGGATAGAGTTTGGCTCCAGTCCCTGCAGGAGGCGTTACAGCTGGCGCCATATGTCTTGTGTGCCGCCGGCGCTTGACAGAGTTTGGCTCCAGTCCCTGCAGGAGGTGTTACAGCTGGCCCCATATGTCTTGTGTGCCGCCGGCGCTGGACAGAGTTTGGCTCCAGTCCCTGCAGGAGGCGTTACAGCTGGCCCCATATGTCTTGTGTGCCGCCGCTCCAGAGCGCCGATCTGCCGCCGTTGCGACGGAGGAAGAACCGTGACGCCCGCCGCCGTCAGCACTTTATTGACGTGCCGTTTTTTTCGTTGTCGTGGTAGTAAGCATGATCGCTTGCACCACTCGTCGGTGACCTCTCGCCGCTTGGCGCGGGCTTCGGAGCAGGTGCTCGATTCCAGGAGCAGTGCTGTGACAGCACCCCACTGTGGCACACGCGAGCCGTCAGTGTGGCGCGTGCCATGCGGTAGCGCAAGCAGCAGGTCTCACCACCGGCTGGCCGGTGACCGGCCCACGCCGGCCGTCGGCGCAGAGAGGGCGTGGTCATTGTGCTGACCCCGGGTCACGGACGGGACGACGGCAGACGTCTCGCTCAGCAAGAGCCAAGCCCCCAGGCCGCTCTGGGGCCTGGGGCGGAGACACAGTCCAAGTGTTTACAGTGTTTACAGACCGGGTCACGTGGTCCTGCGCATTCGCTTGGCAGTGACAAAAACGGCAAGGCTGCAGTGACAGTTGTACGCGGAACACAAGTGGCAGAAGGCCACTCGCCATGCGGCACCAATGTCTGCTGTTAATCCGACCTGCTTTGCGATGGGGCGTCGAGGAAAATAGCCTGCTGCTTGTCTGTCGCGACCATAGCAAACCCGTATGTGTGGCCGAAGAAGAAGGAACTGATGGACTTGCAATGATCCATATTTTCGGTTCCCGCAATTACAGGATTGAGAAAACGCGATTTTTGAGGTAATAATGGTCACACTGAGCTGGCTGTAGGCCTGTGCTATTGTCATGGGCCTGTCTGTTTTAGCGCAGGCCAAAGCATATTGTGTTTTAGACCAATTTTGAAAAGGGTCGCATTGGTCACTTTCCGTCGATTACTGAAATAGCCATGTTCGAACAGTGATTTATAGATGTTCTGGGGGTGGTGAGAAATCGGCAAGTTTGTAAACTACCTGGGGGGCTGCAAACTACCTAGCGCCCTAACGCTGTCTCCCCTGTCGAACGGTATCGGTTTCCATTGGGCGCAGTCTCTTCCGTTGAGCGGTATCGGTTTCCATTGGGTGCTGTCTCCTCCGTCGAGCGGTATCGGTTTCCATTGGGCGCTGTCTCCCCTGTCGAACGGTATCGGTTTCCATTGGGCGCTGTCTCCTCCGTTGAGCGGTATCGGTTTCCATTGGGCGCTGTCTCCTCCGTCGAGCGGTATCGGTTTCCATTCGGCGTTGTCTCCTGTGTCGAACGGTGTTGGTTTCGCGTGGCTGTGGCGTCGAGTGCTGATATCTGGACTCGGCGCTGACCCGAGATGTAAAGCTTTTTACAACTACCAAGTTTTGTGTTAATCTCTTGAGTATTTTGCCGCCTCTATATGTTAATTGTATGCTAGGGCTATATCTATTTCACAATGCGGTGCTGTAAAAATATTCACAGGACCATTCGCCTGTACGCGGATGTCACAACCCTGACACGGCGCATATTTTGCAAAACGTGCTTCTCATTGCTGTGAAAACTGTCTTAAGTTCCCACCAGTGGTAACGAACATATTAACTTTGCGTTTTATTTATTTATTTTTGTACCATTATGTTATCAAAAGTTAATATTAATTAACTTTTAATAATGTAATCATTGAAAGCTTTGCGTAGCTCAGATCGTAGGATCGGGCCTGCCGACTAGAACTGAGAACTAAGTCACCATTCAGAAACATGGAATTGAAGTATTCCTACTTTCAAAACTGCAATTCAAAATTCGCAATATTCACCTGCAACTCTCACACAGATCCGCAGCACCTACCTGTATGTCACTCGCAAGTGGCGCTGCAGGACATTCATGGTCCATGGTCATCTCCATGTTGTATTATCTCCATTTGATATATACGTAGCATCCAGTGGCTTCCTTTCGTCTATTCCATTCGTTCGTCGTTTCATTCCACTCGTCCTCAGACTGTCATGCACCGCGCCTTTTGAATTCGATCTTGACCTGTCCTCTGCCGTATTTAGGCCTGGCCCAGTTTGTCCGTCATATCACCTTCATTTGTTGTCTTTGGCGTGTGACCCCAGTTTGGCCACTAGCTGACTTAGTTGTTCTGTCTGACCTGTCTATGATCTAGACTTAACTCTTTCAGTGCTGTCACATTGGTCTGACTTTTGTCTCGACCCCATCTGCACTGCGTCTGTTTATCTAGACCCCATCTGTATTCATATGTTTGTCTGGATCCCATCTGCAATGGGTCTGTTTGTCTAGACTCCATCCGTACTACGCCCGGTTTTCTGGACCCATCACTACTGGGTCTGTTTGTGTGAACCCCATCTGCACTGCTTCTGCTTGTGACCTCTGTTTGACCTCGTTCTGACGGTCGGCAGGTTCTCGGCACACAAAGCGGTGCTGGCCAGTGCCTCCGACCTCATGTTCCAGCTGCTGACCATGACGATCACAGACGAGGCTGGCGGACGCTGCTCCTCGGACGACAGCCTGGTGAGCTCGCCACATGTGCGGCAGAACGATGCGCTAGCGGTCGCGCAAGGCTGGGACAGTTGTGCGAGCTCTCCGGGATGGCGGGCGCGTGCGAAGCGTATTTCGGATTAAAAGGGGAACAGTTCGGTGGGTCCATCGAAAGCAGAGTACGTTGTCTGTCAGTTCAGTGAGGGAGATAGCCTGGGCGATCGTAAGGAGGGCAGGGGACCGACCATAGGCGTGTTGGGGTGAGGAGGACCGGTCTGGTGAGCAGGTGCTGCTGGTAAGCGAGATAGTGAGCGGAGAACCGCCGATTTAATGAGTCTTCTGCTGCTGATTTTACTGGTCTTGTACTGCTGATTCAACTGGTTTTCTACTGCTGATTCTACTGATAATTATTCTGCTAAGGTTTACGGACCGCTGCGTTTTAGAAATGTCTGGGTGGTTTGTCAATGTCAATATAGGGACGCCAGAGGAATATTTCTTGGGCACGAATACCTGTTGAGCTCGGTATCACATTTGATAATGCTTAAAGCTGTTACATTGATTAAGCATGCTGAACTTTGAGTTCAAGTTAATTAACCAACCATCAGTACTTAAGTTACGAGCACACAGGAAAAGTGATCTGTGTCTGGTTGCGTGCTGCAGCTGGTTCGCCTGCATGTGCAGGTGTTGATGTTTGGAAGGGACGCCTGAAGTAGTACATCCTGATTTAAGGGTCGGTCTCCAGGTTCTGCCGTACTAGGAATGGTCGCACGAGCCGTGCTGAGCGGTTCGAAATCTGGGAAGTCACCCGAACCTCTGTACGCAATACATTCTCTTGTCAGGCTGGGACCAACTTATTTTGAGATTTCAGCAAGGCTGGCCACTAATTTTCGCCCCTCATCACACGATCGTTATCGTGACGCCCAAGAGAAAAGTGTGAGCTCAAATGCATTACGAGGTCTCCCTCTCCCATACTGCGGGCCGCGCCTTCCACGCCGCGCACCTGTTCCCTCGCCACCGATGCGGAGTGAGACGCGGGGCCGCTTCGCGATGAAGCGTGAAGTTTGAAGTGCCTCGCAGTGAAACCAGCGCTTCTCGTGGTCACAGGAGTCACGACAGCCAGTCGGTGACGTGGACGCCTGGCTGGGACGCCGCACTGTCCCCTGGAGTCCCGCGGACGTTGAGATTGCATCAGGGGACTTGCTGACTGCATGCCATGGCTGCGTCACATTCAACCTTCTCCTGCTGTTTATTTGAAGCCTAAAGTTCTTGCCTCGCCATCGCCGATTGACATAAACCACGGGCGTTGAGAATTATTGCCTGCTGTTTGTCTTTTGTCGGCTCATTTTGTACATTTATTCGGAGCGTCTAACGATTCTCCTCAGACGCGGCTCACAGTCTCCGCCCTCGTTCTGGCGGGGCGTATTATTCCAGCCGCCGTCGAGAGCCGGCGCCAGCGTGGCGCCCCCCCCCCCCCCCCCTCCCCCACCCCGTCCCAACCCGACCCCGTTACTCACACCGTCGTCCCATCGCGATCGTCCTGCAACAATGCGGCGCTTCACGCCCTGGCCGCCAGGCTGTGACCGATGCACTGAAGACTGACACGTCGCCGTCGCGAAGCCATGATTTACATCACCGCCGCCTGAAGAGCAGCGGCTTTGGGACGCGAGTGCTTGGGCGGATCAGGCTTGTACTTGGCGAAAATTGTCGCTATGCTGTGGGACATCTGGATGTATCTGTATTGGGCATGGCCGTCAAGCCCTGCGTGGATGATGCGTGACGGGCCTACCCAGAGAGAAGGCGACGCTGCAACAAATAAGGCCCAGCAGACAGCAGAACGAACACCGACAAACTGTCAGCTTTAGTTCATGTCGAATGTTGAACAATTCGTAGTACGCTGCCGTGTGCATGTGATTCATCATTACGTACCTGTTTTGAGAACGATTGAGTCAACAGCCCTGATAAGGAATAGGGAGACTGGGTATGGCAATGTTGCATCATGCAGTTACCATGCACAAATTCAGTCTCAGATGATCATCTGCGGGTGAATATTGGCGAGTCTCTGATCATTTCTCTTCCCTTCTTCTTTTTGTTTTCCTCTTTCTGCTCGGCTTTGTCATCGCCGTATCGTCCGCTTTCAATGAAGGCCAGTTGTGCGTCACCTGCACATAGCGCCGGACGGCGGCATGCACTTCAAATAAATCTCGTTTCGTCGATGATCGTCAGTCAAATGCGGCCGTATCTAAATGAATGATGTCGCCCACTGATATCATCGAACACGTTACGGTTGCAGGCCTTATGATGCCACCAGCCCAGTAAGACCATTCGATAGCCTTGTATATCTTCCTTGTAACTGCACGCTGAAGCATGCAGTCGAACTTGTGTCTGGATAGGACGAAGGCTAGCGCGACTGACCTCCCTGTTCACCTCTTCTTATGGCGAGATGCTTGCAGTAGCGGTGCTGTTGCGCGAGCACCACACTAACGTAACTGAATAAAAACTCGCTTGTTTTACAAACATACGTGCTGTCAGCCTTTCTACCCACCTCGCCGTCGTCGGGAGCTGGTTGTCTCCCGATTTTACTTACGGACGCACGCAGCTGCGAAGGCGAGGGTTACCACCGCTGGCTCATCGCTTTTGTGCCTGACGAAGTTACCTGATACATACCACCGCTCACGAACTACCACGTGCAACCAGTTGCATTGACCATTGTCGCCTCTGCACTGCGTGAAAACGAACGGTAGTGAGCGTCGCAAGCGGTGACAACCGTCACAAGCGAGCGTCGCAAGCGGTGACAGTCGAACCCGAGCCATCTTCGGACGACAAATCACCACCTCGGAACGTGTGACCGTCGCGCTGCGTGGCGGCCGCGCCGCCGCTGGAGCCCGCTCGCTCCCTGCGCCGCCCCACTCTGAGAGGTCGCTGTCCGGCCCGCAGGCGGCGGGGATGGATGAGGCGAGCTCAGAGGCCGACACCGAGTGTCTGCTGTCCAGCTGCGCGCTCAAGCTCATCACGTGAGTGGTGTGGGTGGCGCTGGCGGCGGCACGCCCCGAACCGGCGGCGGTCCGCCGACCCCGGCACCCCGCGCCCGCGCCCTCTCGTGCCTTGTGCGCTGGTCCGCGAGTGACGCTGGCGCCCGTGCGACGATGTCGCTCAGAGTCTGCGCGGCCGGATGCAACACACGTAGCAATCGGCGAGGATTAACGTAACCTTTTAAAAAAACATGTGACAACATATCGGTGTCTTGTATGACGTGGACTCCAAAGTTTGCCAAACGAAGGTCAGATGGCCGGTCCCTGCAGGCTCAGCGAAATGGACGCTCATGCAACATTGTGTACCTCGCACCGTCCTTGATTTCAACTAGCGTGGTTTCGGGTATTTGCGTGATCTGCTGTAAATGTAAGCTGTAACTTTGTCCCCATCTCCGTCTCCGTCTCCGTCTCCGTCTCCCTCTCTCCCGCTCTCCCTCTCTCTTTTTTTCTTTCCCTCTCTCTTTCTCTCTCTCTCTCTCCCTCCCTCACTCTCTCCCTCTCTCCCTCTCTTTCTCTCTCCGTTTCCCGGCGTTCGCCGACTTGAGTCGGCCCGCGTCTGCCACGTCAGGGGGAAGACACGCGAGGCGGGGGCGGCGGCCGAGCCGATCCGGGCCGCCTGGCGGCCCCCCACCATCAGCCAGGTGGGCCAGTCTCGACACCTCAACCACCCGGCCTTCCAGACCATCAGTATACAACAGGTGAGCGGGCTGGCCGTCCCGACCGTGTCCTCGGACCGTGCCCTCCGATCGTGTCCTCCGATCGTGTCTTTACTTCGTGTCCTCCGATCGTATCCTTCGATCGCGTGCCCCGACTGTGTCTTCCGATCGTCTCTTTCGACCGTATCCCACGGTCGTGCCCTCCGACTGTGTCTTCTGATCGCGTCTTCCGGCCGTGTCTTCCGACTGCGTCCTCCGACTGTGTCCTCCGACCGTGTCCTCCGACCGTGTCCTCCGACCGTGTCCTCCGACCGTGTCCTCCGGATGTGTCCTCCGACCATGTCTTCCAATCGTGTCCCTCGGCTGCGTCCTCCGACCATGTCCTCCGACCGTGTCCTCCGGTCGTGTCCTCCGGTCGTGTCCTCCGGTCGTGTCCTCCGGTCGTGTCCTCCAATCGTGTCCTCCGATGGCATCCTACGATTTTGTCCTCTGACCGTGTCCTCCGTCCGCGTCTCCCCTTTCGAATGTCCTCAGGCGCCCTTTGATCGCCTTTCTTAACAAGCGCACCTCCGAACCCTCGGACCATCCGCGTGGGCTTTTTGGGCCGTTATTCCCGAGGGCTTGGTGCTCTCCATACCAACTCATTTAAGAGCCACCACCGCGCTGCTCAGCAAAGCCCTGCGGGAACTGAGTTCTGCCGGTATGGATGCGTCGACACTCACCGATATCGCCGGCGGTCCGTGTGCGAGATACGACTTCGCGATACTGAGACGCTGTGTATAGCGGCGCTCTCCTGCCCCTCCCCGTGTTGAGAGCTGGGCCGTGTGTGGGCGTGTGGGTGGGCATGTGTGCCTGTGTACACGCACACGTGCTCACCTGGCGTGCAGCGGGGTGAGCACGCACTCTATGTATGGGTGCGTGTGTGTGTGGCGATGACTGGGCGGTGGCCGGCCGCCAGTGCGAGGGCCTGGACCTGAGCGGCCAGCCGAGCCTCTCGGTGCAAACCATCGTCAGCGTGAGCAAGCTGGTCAGCCCGGCGTCACTGCGCCAGGCGCTGCACTTCCTCTACACCGGCCGGCTGGAGGACAACGCAAACTGCAACATCAGGGTCAGTCACGCGCCGCTCGTCTCCCTTCTCTCCGCTTCCTAAACGGACCTACCCCACCGCTTACTCCCTCGCTGGCACCTCGCCTGCGCCCTGCTAGACGCGTCCTACGAGCCTCCCAAGACCGAGCAAACTCTCCACGCTGTCAACATCCCAACAGGTAGTATTGGGGCGTGCTTGGACTCCCGGTTTGCGCTGGCTGGCATCGTGTAGCCATCCTTCGCAATCTTCGACCTCTGAAAGTATCGCAGAGATGTGAAAGAGACCCGACTGAATCCCAGCGCTCCCTCTAGGATCACGAACCCCGTGGCCAGGGTGTCGAGACCTCCAGGGGCTCCTCGGCGCCCGTTTGCTTTCGCGTGCTGGGATTAGCAGCCTTACGCTCAACCAAGCGAATCCTGCGTATCTGTTGTTGCCAGCGCCGAGTCCACCCAACGCCTCACTCCACAGTCGGCTGGCGTGGTGCCTGCACATGTAGTTGCCTCCTCTACCCGAAAAATCCCTTCAGAATCCGGGAGACTAGTCGAGCATGGGAGTCTTTTGGGTCTTCCGATCCAGTCTCTGTTCCGGCTTTAAAAAGCACCGCACCAGATTGACCCGGCTGTGTGCCACGCGCCACTCACCAGGAGGAGGGGGGAGGGGGGGGGGGGGGCGGTGCGAACGGTGCACGACTTCTCGCTGGAGGCATCAACTGGGCGCGAGTCAGGTGGTGTGGACGTTAGCGCTTAAGCCGTGCATTGTTCCGCTCCTGCTGGGGTGTGCGCACGTGGGTGACGCCTGCGCGCATCTCCAACAGTTTCGAGTTCAGCGTGAGCCACGCGCCAACGGCCGCACCACTCGGCTTTATCGCGCTTCTTTTCTCTTTCTATCTTTCCAGCGGGTATAACTTTCCAACGTTAGCTTGTCTTATGATTAGATTTAGGTATGTCTAGTCTCTTCATAGTATGCCGATGATACGGATGGTAATCGGATGTTCTACCAGTCGGCGGCTGGTGTAGCGCACTTATTCAGCGCGAACACATGGGTATCCAGCTGTTTTGTGTGCCGCCCTCCGTTGTATGACACCGCGTGGCTTTGCGTTACCTGCCGTCTATGAAAATCTGCTTAACCATTCGAAACGAATTGTATGACCAAAATACGAAAAGGGCACATATGAGTTCTTGTACCGCTTAATTGAGCTTAGCCTCTGCCATATAGCTTATTTCTGATCTAATGGTTAGAACTATCGTCTCAAGTTGTTTACATGCTTACGTTTTGGCTACTTCATTCCTCGTTCGTCTAAAAGATGTTAAATACCGAGAAGGACTGGATTAGCCTTCTAGCTAACCTGAATTGGCTTAGCTAGTGTTAGCTTTCAGCCATGTGAGTGTCAGAAACTTTGAATTGTCTTCCGTGGAAGTGCTGCGATTTGAACTGGTTCAGTTCGAATCGCAGCAATGCGAAGGAAACACATGCTTACGACGCGTACACGACTGGGAGCCGAACATTGTCCAGCCCTTCTCAGCAAACAACAGGTCCTAGCGCCGGTCGGAGAATTCACCGGCCGAAACGATATGGACTTTACCAGCGATGAGACGAGGACGGTGGTCTTATTACTTCATCAGTGATGCTCATTTTGCATATCGCTTACAGTCCTTTGCCCGCGTACAAGCTCTGGACTGATATTCCTCAGGAGCTGATGGAGGCCTCGGAGTACCTGGGCTTCTCCCAGTTCCAAGCCTTCCTCGCGAACATCGTCAGAAAGGAGGAGTATCGCAACAAGGACATCACAGCCTCCTACTTACAGGTAGGTCGCCCTTCCCGCTGTACGAGAGCGCCGAAGCCGGTGCCGTCGTCCAGGCCGCCGCTGCTGTAGCCGCCTCTGCCGCCGCCTGGTATTGATCACAGGTCCCGAGAGACGTGTACCGCCTCACCTGGGCCAGCGAGCGCAAGCAGCGTCCGCACACGCGAGACAGCCGGGGTCGGGCGGTACTGGACGAGCGGAACGGCAGCGCTCTGCCCAGCAACGCGCCGCGCCGCCCCGCCCTGCCCTGCCCTGCCCTGCTCTCACGAGTGGATGTCACCGCACGGCTTGGCCCGGAGTTGGTGGGCGATATGCTGAACGGGACCGGCCAGTCACCTGTCTCACGACCGAAGACGCTCTCATGTGCGAAGGCGATGTATTGCACATATCAGCTGAGCGACACAGTGGCACAAATGTTGTAATTTTGAAGCTTATCCCTTATCCTTATCCCTTATCCCGCAAGTTAGAATTAAAACCGGTGAACCGCTTTTTACTGCGTACATATGGAAAAGGTCAATGCAGCCCATGACAAAAAGGTGAGGCTGCTTTCCCACTACTGGGGCCCGAAACCCGGAGACGTCAGTGTGTAAAACCGCAGCGCTCCGCCATAAAACCGAAAAACTTCGGAGTTGCCCGCATCACCGAGCGACTTCAGCATGGTAAGCACACAAGCCGAGGCGGGGGAGTGACGCGCCGCTGGGCGACGTGACCTAGCTGGGTGGCGGCGCGCACCCGGTCCCGCCGGCCGCCGACTCAGGGGCCGTCGTCCGACGACAACTGCCGGTTGAGACGTCGCTCGGTGAGCGAGAGCCTTTGGCCGAGGTCCACGTGGCGCCCGGTGCGCTGCAGCGCCACGGCGCGCGCGCGCGCCGCCAGCTTCGAGCGGAAGCTCCAGAAGCGCGGCAGCCGCGGCTGCACCTGCCGCTCCGGCTGGTTGGGGAACATGTGCAGCCTCAGGTCAGGGAGCACGTTGGTGAGCCGCAGGCGGCGCGCAAACCAGGCACGCAGACCGCACGCGCGGCCGATCACGGCAAAACACCGGATGCAGGCAGAGTCGCGTCGCAGGCAACGTTTCATCATCGGACACGGAAAGTCGCCCAGGAACTGTAGCGGTCCGTCCAGCATCATGGACTCTGTGTAGGCCAGCAGCTCAATGCGACTGATGCTGCTGAACACACGCGCCTGGTTGCGGATGTCTGCCGTGTCGGCCACAGCCAGGCCGTTCAGCAGGTTGGTCAGCACCACCGTGATGAGGAAGAGAAAGCCAACAAACGCCAGCTGGCCGGGGGCCGGTTCGTCGTTGAGCGGCATGGAGCCGTAGTCCAGCTTGTCGATGGTCATCACCAGCGTTTGCAATAGGGTATCTCCGGGCGTGCGGTACCGGCCGCTGTCCTTGAACATAATGTACATGCTGAGGGTGAAGCCCAGGATCAGCACCATATAGCAGAGGAGAAAGCAGATGAAGCGCCTCAGTACGGTAGTGAACATCTTGACATAGACCGAGAAGATGGGCATCCGACTCAATAGCGCGAATAGACCGCCCCAGGCAAACATCATAGTCATAGCAGAGAGCTGCATGGCCTCTGACCGCGATAACTCGGTGTAGAGCAGCGTGACAGTCATGCACAACACCGGCACCTTCAGGAGGTCGTTCTTGTCGCTGAAGCAGTAGCGGGTCGGTGCACAGAGGAGCTGGACCGCCTTGCAAACGGTCAGGGTGGTCGATATAACGGCCGTCGCATAGTAGCAGCCTAGAAAGGCGTCGCCGCGGTCATACCAGGCCACGTTGCTCTCGACGTCGACGAACACGAGGGCGGTCAGTAGCGCCACGAACACGGCGTAGCAGATCAGGTCGACCACGAAGAAGGGGCGCACCTGCCACCATTTGAGGTCGAGGAAGCTCTCCACGAGCGGGTGCCTCAACAAGTCGCGGTGCTCCTTCGACGTGGACATGTGCCAGACAGCCGCCATCTCGAAGTGCGGCTCGCTCTTGGGCCCGCGCGGCGCCGCCATCAGCGCGTAGTTGAACTCGATGTCAAAGTCGACGTCGGTCACGTAGCGCCCTTTGGTGGTGACGCAGCTGTCCAGGTAGTCTTGCAGCACGTCCACGGGCAGCGCCTGCAGCAGCGGCCGACCAGCCGAGTCGCGCACGTTGACGTCCGCTCCGGCTTGCAGCAGCACCGTCATGGCCGTCGGGTTGCCGTTGTGCACGGCGTGGTGCAGTGGCGTCAGGCCCACGTCGTCCGCCACGTTCACGTCCAGGTGGGGCGCGTGCGCCAGCAGCCGGCGCAGGAGGTGGTGGTCGCGCGCCGCCGCGAAGTGCAGCGCCGTTCGCCCGCTGGCCGCGCTGGCCACGCCCGGGTCGGCGCCGGCCGTCAGCAGCGCCTCCACGAACTCGGCCAGCCGGTGGTCGCATGCGTACTGCAGGCACGTGTAGCCGTCGCCGTGGCAGTGGTCGATGGCGGCGGGGTGCTCTGCGGCGTGTTCTAGCAGGTGTGAGAAGCGCGCCAGCTCTTCGGCCACCAGCGCCTCGTACAGCTGATGGCTGAACTGCAGGCTGGCCAGATCTGAGTGATCCGCAGTATCAGACGTTGGCTGCAGCTCCACGGCGCCGGGGTCGGGTGCACCGCTCTTGCCGCCGCCGCCGCCGTTCTCGTCGCCGTTGCCAGTCATGCTGAAATGAAGCGGCACGCCGGATTGACAGACGGCCGTGTGGTCCCTGGCCGGTGCAGAGTCATGACTTGGCAGGTTGCAGGCACAGCCAACGGCTCACGCTCAGTTAAGCGTTAGCTCTGGTGCATCCCTATATGCATTTGTTGTAATGCGAGACTGGCCAACTATCCTACGCTCTCGCCCATGTATAGAGTAATTACTGGGAAGAAAGTCAGCATATTTGGCTGTGCAGCCTCCTCAAGCTAAATTGCAATCACAGTTTGACGAGGATCGTTTTTCAACAAAGTAGAGTTGTTGCATTGTCAATGCATAGGTATTTTCATATTTCCTTTAGACCGCGCGACAAATTTTGAGAAACAAGGTTTGCTCATTTGTGATTGTTAGTTAGTCCTGCAAAAACTGTAAAGCAAAATTTGAGTTTGTCGGCACTCTTCCACAACGTGAGAAACTGACTGCTTACTGAAGCTCGCATTAACCTCAATTACGTAAAAGCAATCCGAATTCAACGCAGTTGTTGCTGTTTTTGCCGAATTTTGCTTGCTCAACAGCAGAGCGTTTGTACAATACAAACAGCATAAAACAGATGCGATGACATACAGCACATCCACACAGCGAACGGAAAATAAGCATTGAATCGTATGGCGCCACGTCCAAGAGATGCTACCTATGGAGCCAATTTCATAATTTGGGGTCGGGTCAAAAAAATGTAAATTTTAAGCGTAGTTCTGGCCCATATGGGATGTACATCTTTTCGCTATCAGCCTCGTTTTCCGGCCGCCTAAGTCAAGAAGACTTACTTACAGAGATAGCGTATTTTCAGCAAGAGTTAAGCACTGGCGGATAATGGTGATGCATGCAACTTAACGTTGTGTGGCAAATCTGTCACGCAATGACAGACAGTCCGGCCCACCACGGTCGTTTCGCCCTGCAACCTGGCAGATATGTTAATCCTATTCCTAGAGTGATGCCGTAAGTACCAGGCACTGGAAGGCGCAAGAAGAGCTGTGCAGATATCAAGATGAGCAGCACGACAGTTGGCATGGGCATAGGGGAAAACAGGACCTAGGCGAATTACGCGGCGACGGCAAGGAGCCGTGAAGGTGTTCGTGTTAGCGCTAGCCAAGACAAAACCGAGTTTAACGCCAAGACGAAAAACCGGCTACTAATGGCGAGCGTGTCATTAAAAATGTTTCATGTGATGATCATCGCTGCATTCGTGCTAGCGCTACAGTTGAGCGCACTTAACGTAGGCTTGTTCTGATCGAACCACACTGCTAACAGGCCTGGTGTTATCTATAACCTGGGGATGCAGACATCCCTCGAGTAGCCCGAACACTACGGCCTGCGCTGTCCGCGGCTCAGGCACTGGTTTTATTTGGCTACTGCGGCATTGGTGTCGACCCAATGCTGGAGGCCAACGCATTTCTGCTTCACTTGGCATGCTGTTATGATTATTATTACATTATTGTGGGCATACTATCTGAAATCGCTGTAAAGATAGATAGAGACTGGTAACGCTTCTCTGCGGCACCCACAACTGCCAAGACAGCAGGAGTTCGTGGACATGATCGCATAAATTGAGTTTTATGAGCAAGACCATTCCGTAACCATGTATGCCTTATTCCGCAACGGTGGGACATAACTCTCCAAGGCATACGACTGACGGAATGGGGCATAGCTTCACCCATAAAGTCGTCCTACTGACGGAAAAGGGATTTGGTACAAGAGTGCTGCTTTGGGCAGTTTGAGAATACTGGGAGAGTATTCGGAAAAGCGAGACAGATGGGTGCCTTGGAGGAGCACTGGAGGAGTCAAAGGGAGAATTCTCGATGGAGTAATTGAGGAATACATAAGAGACCTCTGGGGTATGAGTTTCGGCGACACGGGGACATATATCATGAAGGGATGAAAGCGACGTGCCAAAACGTGATTCGAGGAGGAGCTACATCGCGAATAGATAACATATCCTCGCCAATTATATTACCTCGGTATCGCTTACAGGGCGCGCGGTTCAGCATCCGAGACGACGCTGTTTCAAGAATTGTACATCGTGCTGGAGGCTTGAGCCCAACGAATTTGACCCTATCTTTGCATTTTGTAGGCGACAGTCCTCTTCAGCCAGTTCTAGCGACACAGGGCGTCGTCAGCGTCCTCGCATCACACATTCCGCAGAATGTCTGAGCAGTTGGCTTACCTCGCGCGGTGGTTGGTCTCAGCGTGGTGATCCCTCCTGGGTCCCCGGCTGTGTGCGCGACCCCGGCCGGCCCCGGCCTGAGGTCAACCTCGGCCCGCCGCCAGCAATGGCGACGCCAAGCAATTGAGACGGTGCGGCCCGGGGCCTGCGTCAGGCCCCGGGCCGCACAGAGGCCCGCAGGGCTGCGCGGAGGGCGGCGCTGGCCGGGGCCAGGCCAGCCGGGGCCAGGGCCGGCTCGCGTATGCGGTGATCAGTGGGTGGGATGGGCGCCAAGTCCACACCCCCGGCCACGGGGCTGCTGTGTCCGCCCCTGAGCGCGCGCGCTCGGGGCCCCGCCGGCTGTCTGGGGCGGCGGCTGGCGGCCGCATGGAGGGGGGAGGGGGAAGGGCCTTAGGGCGCATCGACTGCACAGATGGCGACCACACGTCCAAACATGGCTGCGATATGAATATGACGTCAGGGACTTCGTGACATTCATCGTGCTTCATATGCTGCTTGAATATGTTTTGAATCGCAGTGATATGTTTGACATCGTAGTGGATACATTGTAAAAAAAAAAACAGGTGGGGTGAGAGGTTTTCAAAATCGAAGGTCTTCTGATGGTCAGTGCGATATAACGAGCACAAACGGACAAAATTCGTATCAATTGGACGTGTCGTACTCGAGATGCTTCCGGACCAGTTAATGGAATCCAGACCAGGTATCACCGTGCTCCGTAGCACAGAGGGTCACCGCGAAGGTCCACCTTCCTCGTCTTCTTGTCCCTGTTCTTACGCTACTGCCTTCTAGGTCCTGAACCCCCAACTTTTTCCCAGCCACCGGCCGTGGGCTTTGGGGTTTGCTGACGCCGGTTGGCGTCCGCGCCGGTTTCGAACCCAGATCTTCCGTCCCCAGCCGGATCTCCCGTCGACCGAGACTTCAGCCTCCAGGCCTGCCCTGACGAAGCGGCCGGCGGTGTTTCAGAGTCTGAAGACGCGCCTGGTGGAGGTGTGCCTGGACGGCGGCATGTTCTCGGACGTGCTGTTTCAGCTGGACGACGGTACTGCTGCCGCGCACCGGCCGCTGCTCATGGCCAGGTGTGAGGTCATGCAGGTCATGTTCGCCGGCAACTTCCGGGAGAGCAAGGCCAAAATCGTGAGTGCAGCTCTGGCAGCGCTATGTCATTTGTGCACGCCGTGCGCTGGTACGCGGTTTTCTATGCTTGTGTAACCTCGTTGTGTTGCTGACGCTTACAGTGTAGCTCGGCCATCTTCATGTGTGGTACGATACGTGAACGTCAAAATAGGGCATACAGCTGGAAATATGGTGGTTACAACTTACAGACGTGCAGCCATTAAACACTTGTAGGGTGGAAGACACAACAGCATCTGCATGGCCAGCCAGAGGCGTGTTGTCTGCCGTATGAAACTGTTCAGTAGCGCTTGTCTGCCACCGCTGTTTGGTTGTTTGGGTGTTAACACACTATATTTGCGTTGAAAGGAACCGGTGAGGCCTGGCATAGGGCTTCACGCGCTTGGGGCTCTTCATACAGAGTTTATGTGTGAAGATGAGGTATGACTGACCTGAACTAAGAGAGGACGAAGCGGCGTGGGTGACAGCCGGGCAGAAAGAAGAATCCAGACTTACCAATGTTTCAACCGTAGGCCATCTTCAGGTTGAGGTTAGAGTTGGGTTAGATAAGAAAAAAGAGTGAACTGCCACAAAATACCAAAGCGGAAAGGCGAATGGAAAGAAGGGAAAAAGTTGCTTCGGTGCCTCGTGGCGACTCATACCTCTTTCCGTTCTAACCCAACTCTGCCCCTCACCTGAAGATGGGCTAGGTTTGACACACTGTGGGTCTCTGTTCCTCTCTGTGCTCGGATTTCACCATCGCGGCACCGTCTTCTCTTGGTTCAGTTCAGTCAGCCGTTGCGCTCGCATGGGGATTGATGGTGATTTTAACTCCAATACATCAATATGCCGTATAAGATACAGGAGGCCTTCCGCCAGCTGCGCATTCCCCACACGTCCGATTATTTGGAATCTTCCTTCAATGGTAGTGGCAGCCAGTGATGCTGCTTGTTTATCCCTGATCTGCCTGTAGCAAGCAAAGCCCGTCCGGACAGCCCAGTCGGTCAGGGTGCCGATCTGCGGCTGGGCTCGAGTCGTTTCAGCCCCTCGCTGTTTGCACTGACAAGGACTGTGACTCGGTCACGCTAAAGGTCAGGTGGCGCCAGAGGCCGTTGACTCGGAATCTCACGATCGAATGGTGGAGGTCAATGGTGGATGTCACAGCTCAGGCAGCGTTCGCTGCTTTGTGTGGGCGCTGATTCCACAAACCCCATCCAATCAAAAGGCCGGAACTTAGTCTAGGGAAGCTTCGATGTACAGGAAGTGGCCCTGCATCTCCTTATGTCCCCTCACCGCTCGGAACTTCTAACGTCGCGTATATCCTGCTGTAGCGCCATTCTGCTGTTGGCGTCGAGCACAGCTGCACTGCCGACGTCAGCGTTCGCGGAACGCGCTGACTCCGGCCTCCCCGCTCCGGCAGGTGTCGCTGCGTGACGTCACAGAGTCCACCTTCCGCGTGCTGCTGCACTTCATGTACAGCGACTCGGTGCCCGCCATCCGGCCACAGGAGTGCCTGCCGCTGCTGCAGCTCAGCAACCGGCTGTGCCTGCAGCGGCTGCTGACGCTGGTCGAGCGCACCACGGCCGAGCAGCTGGAGCAGGCGGCCGCCGACGGCCAGGACTGCGTCGAGCTGGTGCTGGCGCTGCTCGAGCCCGGACAGGTGTGTCGCTGCCGCCTCCCCCCCCCCCCCCGCCCGGCCGGCTCTGGGGCTGCGACATGGGGGCCCCCATTAGCAGTCCCAGCCGCCTCCAGTGGGACGTGGCGCCCAGCCGAAGTAAGACACTCCGTTTGTGCTGTATTTGGTGCACCGGAAAGTGTGCTGTGTGTGGGCTGACGCTGCCATGTGTTCGCTGTGGTGCGCTGTGTGTGGAGAGTGTCAAGTCGTTTTCCCATGTGCGATATTGCGGCGAGTGTCACGCTGGTGTGCTGTTGAGTGTGACAAAGATGCGCCGGTGAGTGTGACATGTGAGAAGTGTGTGAGAGGTGACGCTGCTTACTGTGAGTTTGTGCTGACAAGCCCTCCGCTTGCGCTGCATATACAATGCGCTGGTGTGGACGCTGCTGTGCCGTGCGTGATGCGCTGGTGTGGACGCTGCTGTGTCGTGCGTGATATGCTGGTATGAACGCTACCGTGTCGTGCGTGATGCGCTGGTGTGGACGCTGCTGTGTCGTACGTGATGTGCCGTATTTGTTGTGCCGGAGAGTGTGACGCTGGCCCGTCCTGCGCAGTTGCACAATGCTGATCAGCTGTCAGACTGGTGCCTGCACTACTTGGCCATCAACTATGACACCATATGCAAACGCTACCCGAAGCAGGTGCGCGCGCTCCACCCGGAGAATCAGGCGTACCTCAACAAGCACCGCTGGCCACCCACCTGGTGAGTGAGGCTGGCGCTCTGTGAGGGCATGTTTGCAACTTATTGTGCACCTATCTACCAATTTATAATCTCACCAGCCCTGCCCCAATTCCGTCCATTTGCTAAGTTACATATCAAATTCTGTCCGGCACGACGTGCTAAGATCTCATCTAAAAAAGAAATGTGGCATTTGTATGCCGATGTGAGGTCCTTCACTAAAGGCATGAAAAGGCAAGTCCTCCCTTCTTGTGCGGAAGTAGCATCGCTCCCACGTCGTCGCATACGAAGGTGTGCATTGCAAAAACGTATCGTCTTTTCTCCTGTCGCCCGTGACGGCGGTCTTGTATGCCATCCCAATCCACTACACAGAGGCAGATGCGCCATGCGTGAAAGCACGTATCGTTCCCAAATTGGCATTCGCGTCTCCTATTCATTGTGCTCGTCAGTCCCCATTCTAACCCAGTCACGACCAATGCTCCATAAAATTGTGCGACGCACTCCAGTCCTCCAGTTTATAAATTGAGGCGCCATTCGCGGAACGGTCCGATCAGCGCCGAGCTGCAGTGACGAGCTGCAGTGGTGGGGTGCGGTCCCGCTCTCGGCAGTCGGACAGCGGGCGGCACAGTCGACACCGTCGACGCTGCCCGCTGTGACGGTCCCGCTCTCGGCAGTCGGACAGCGGGCGGCGCAGTCGACACCGTCGACGCTGCCCGCTGTGACGCTGCCGCGTTCTTGAACGGGACGACAAAGAAGCCTCCACACTACTGTCTGGGGAGACGGAAATTAGCTGTGGGGCTTGAATGACGTCAGGGTGGTAGATGCTGGTGGCGGTTTTGGTGTAAGAATGGCCCCTGTTCTAGTTCTTGTTCGGGAGTTGTCCTTACTTTCAGGGTTATTCACGCAAAACGTAGGCACAGAACTCCATCTGGAGCTTGGCCAATGATGCCCACGTGGAGCGTTGGTGGTGTGCACGGCTCTCTTCCGGTGCATGAAATCGCTGAGCTGTTTGGAATAGCCCGTGGTAGCGCGCCGGCCATGGAACCTTTGCGTCGGATCCGCGAGGATGGGTACCGTTCGGACATTTCATTTACCGCAACAGTCACCCTTTTTTCCTTCGCCTCACCTTACCGCTCACCTCTTACTGATGACGTAGTCGTGAGGCGAGCACTGCTGGCTGAAAGGGCTTTGATCCCGATCAAACGAAACCAGAATTTATCTGCTACTCTCATCTACAGTGTTCAGATGAACACCGAGTTGGTAACGTCGGTCGTGCTCTGTCGTTAACTCCAGGTACCTGAAGGACTACGACTGCTACGAAAGGATGCTGAGGGAGAGGCAACGCGAGGAGAACCCCATCAAGCCATTCAAACGCACGCGCACCATCTCAGGGTGTCTCTGCTTCAGTGGCAAGCGCAAGCAGCAGACGGCGCACAGCGTCTGACATCTACCGGCCGGAGCCGTCAACACAAGTCGTCAGGCCCGCCCGCCAGGCGGCTCCGACTGGTGGAGCCTGTGCTTCTGGAGCGGCACGGCAGGAGCCGTTTGGGTGTGAGACAGCGCCAAAGACACGAGTCGTTTGGGCGAAAGGCGTCAGTGGCAGGAGCCGTCTAGGCCTGAAGCGCCAAAGACAGGAGGCGTTTCGGCCTGATGCGCCAATGGCGGGAGCCGCCTGGGCGTTGGGCGGCGCCAATGGCGGGGCCATCTGGGCGTGAGGCGGCGGCGGTGATGCTGTATTTTCAGGGCTGATTTGTACGCCGGAGCTCGTGAGGAAGCGCATTGCTACGAGACCACGCCATCGCCTGTCCCATTTTGAACAATGCAACTCTCGCCTAGTGGTGGACACGCTCGCACGCCGCCGGCTATCTGCCCTTCTCGGGGAGAGCGTCATCAGTGTACTCGATCACGGCGCTCGCGCCTTATGAGAGGTCTCGCGCCCTGCATGGAGCCGGTCGTCGCCTGCCAGGACAAGTCAACGCCCTCTGATTCCACGGTGCCCGGCGGGTTACCACATCTGTACAAATCATGCTGTCTTGTCGCGCGCACGTGCCGTCGAAAGCACGCATCTGGCGCTGCCTGCTTCCGCTGTGTGTTCTGCTGAACGCGCGCTGCATGCGAGCCTGACACTAGACTTTTCTACCGTCCCTGTAGGCCCTCTGTGTGCGACAGCGGGTGTTCTCCATAGCCCCGCGAGCCCGGCGGGGGCGGAAGGAGGGCAGGTGGCGCCGCTTGTCACGTCGGCTGGTGCCCGCAGGTTCAGGGGGTGCGGGGGGAGGGGGTGGGGCAGGCGCCGCCGCTCCTGCCGGCCGTCGCCCGCAGGTCCAGCGCGACTGGGCCGCCCGCCACACGGCCCAGCCCGCTCAGTAACCAAAGAGCCCAGCGAGCGGATCCGTCTCGCGCCCCGGTGTCTGTCCGTCTGTCTGTGTGTCTGTGTGTCTGTGTGTGCGTGTCTGTGTGTATGCGCGCGCGCATTCGGACGAGCGCTCGCCCATGGGACGGCGGCGGCGGCGACCGCTATCGGTGTGTGGCGTCCGACGGTGGCGCGCCGGACACTAGCTGTGATACTCCGCACTGGCGGCGCCGCTGTCGCCCGCCCCGCCCGGCACCGGCCGCGGGCCGGGCGGGGCGGGCCGACGGCGGCGGCGCCGGCTCTCCGCGCCCCGGCTCGCCCGCTTCGGCACGCATTCCTGGCGCCTCGGCACGCGCTGGTCACCGGTGTGTACATAGCTTTAGACGGCTGCGCGGCGATGCCCGCCGCCGGTACCAAGACATCGCGTGCTCGACATAATTTTCTACGTGTGTAGATGTTCGAGGCTCCTGTAGCCTGCCAAAACTCCAGTAGCATTTTGCTATGTGATTTTCATGAATAAAGCAGATATATTTAAACAGACACATTTCCTCTCACTCTCTTAGCTAAAGGAATCGAGGTTTTTCTCGGCTCACAGCCAGCAACAGCGGACGTGGCCAGGTATGGCAATGTCCCTCGACCACACACGACAGTCATTGAATTAGGCTCCACACACGAAGCTCGCTCACACAGTGCTGACATGACCACTAGATCGGCCGAGGGCGGCCACTAAGGCTGGCTCCACAGGGTCACTTGCTCCGGCCCGACACGACTACCAAGTGGGGCTCGCCATGGTTACTAGGTCGCGACGCCGCCGCTGAAGCCACTTCAGGACCAGCAGAACTGGTGACCAGCGCAAGCCTGATGTGCCACTTGACCGGACCTCCAGGCCCAGACGAGTGACAGCTAGCTCAGACTCGGTTCGTTCACATGGCCGCACACGACTGGTCATCAGCCCAGCTCCGCCCGGTCATTGGGCCGCGCGGCACGTGGTTACTAGGCCACGCCCGAGCTGGGCGCTGTCCGTGGCGGCGCCGGCGGCGTCAGCGCAGCTTCTGGAAGAGGACCGCCGAGCCGTGACCGAGCTGGCCGCCCTCCGGACACGGCCGCTCGGCGTGCCGCCAGCCGCGCGCCTCCGGTCGCACGCCCAGCTTGTCTGCCGGAGCACGGGAGCGATCAGCGGCCGAGACAGGTCACAGCGCATCCCACTCCCAGTCAGAGGCCGCCGGCTGAACCCCAGCTGCTTCGTGAGCCCTTCACCGGCGCCTCGCGCCAGTCTGTGCGCAGGGTAGCTGCACCCGTCCGGGACGGATAGCGGGAGGTAGCGTCGGGGACACGGCAGTGCTTGGTGCGCTGAACAGGCCGCCAAGTCATCAGGTTGGCTGGGGCGGACAGCTCACAAACAAGGCCAAAGGCAAGCCGGACATTTGAGACATTCACGTTTGTGGAGAAGAAGAGCAATGGGTGCATCGACACCATGATCAGTCAAGCGTTGCAAAACACAGATCTCGGATTTGATAACATCTTGGCCGAGAGGGATAAACGCGACACCTAAGCGGCGATGATTGCGGGCCCACGGCGCGGTACTCTGTGTCATTCCCACCGTTGTAAAGGTCCGCTTGGCTCGGGGCCCAGGCCCTCCCAGCCACATCTCTTGAAACAGCAGGATATATGGTCACATTGGCCTTGTATCGGTCTTACTGGAACTGTCGTGCTGTTCTACACAACCTACCACGTGACGAAAGTTTGCAGGGTTGTGATCATGATGGAAGACAGGGGCGGTCAGCAAGTTACCGTGGTCGCGACTACCTGCACGTGCCAACGGTGAACATCTGTTGCATTGCACCGCCAACGACGCCAGCGATCGCTTACTTAAAGCCACCTGCATGTTCTACGGTCACTAACGTTACAGCGGCCTGATGGACACTGGGTGAACGGAAGCTGCCTCAGGTGGGAAGATTCCCTAAAGCAACTGGCATGTCCCACTTCAGTAAGCTCTCCCGTGCCAGTCATCGCAGTGGCAGACGTTCGCAGTAGGCTCTCTTTCACCAGCTTCTATAAGAGAAGACATATCGAACAAGACATTGCAAAATGGCCAGATGTGCCCGCATCACTAAGTTGACCGCTTCGCAAGATACTTAAGACAAAGCCTTCAGATGCCCTTCTGTTTCCGGGTTGACCTTCGAACCTGACCTCGAAACCCTCACAGCCCGGAACGTGTTGTCCAGTGGCAGATGGTTTGGTACCGGGCAGCGAACCGCCCACCATCGAGCGGCCAACACGAATACGGAACAGAATACAGTACAGAAACCGTACTCAGCGTCATCACCCACCACGTCCCGCGTGCCGTGGACGAAAGGCGAGTGTACGTGTTAGAGCTGCTTGATTTGTCCGAGTGCCACGATGACGCGTCGCACCGGAAACCGCTGGCACAGCTGGTGCTGTACGGCGTGGAGCGGGCGGTTCAGCGATTACCTGTGAGGTCACACTCAGCAAGTGCAGACGTTCTACAGTGAAGGTACCCTTTCAGACCAGACTTCTACAGTGAAGGCCTATACGGTCTGGGACGAAGCCAAATACAATCGACGCATTCCAGGGTTGATCCCTCAGCTGTATGCTGTCTGCCGTGTTCTCGGACGATCTGAGCCCATTTGTACCCGAATTCGTCCGTGTCGCACAGCTTACTGACAACACACAACGGCTCGTCAGCGGTACGCAGAGTGGCATGCCACCGACCTTTCGCCGCGCCGAGCAGGCCCCTGAACGCTTTCATAACTGGCTTTGTGCGAACATGAAGCTGAACACGACCAAAACCTAAGCTCGTGTACTCGATACGCCAGCCATGCTTAGAGGCTCGGTACCCTGTTTCCCTGAGTTTCTTCAGCGCCGTGATATCCGAACCCAGATTTGTGAAAAAAAAATGGGTTTTTATGGACGAACATGTCAGTTTTAAATTGCATGTGAATCAAATCACGTCCATATGCATCCTCATTGGTCTCGCGCATGCTAAATAAGCAGCATCGAACGCTGTTCTTGCAAACATTGTTCAGACTCGTCGCTCCCATCGTCTGATACTCTACATCGTTGCATGGCACGTGCAACGTCGCGCAATTTCACAGGTTGCTAAAAGCGAATGCTGAATTTCGGTGGCCGTGCGACCAGTGGCAGACGCAAACACCACCCCGTCAGTGAGGTTTTCAAACAACTTAACTGGCCTGACGCACACAGCCTTGTAAAGTATTATAATATACGCATGATCCATGCAGCCACGACAGGCAGACCTGAGCTAAACGCTTGCACCATCGGCAGCGCACCACAGCACCATGTATGAGACACGAGGTTCCATCCGACACGTATTACCCATAATGTTTATGGAGACAGGCCGTCGCCGTCTTTGCTACGGTCGAGTACAGGAGCGCGATGGGCCCGGGCTACTGTAAACTTGCGGGAATCTCACATACCATCTGAAGCGCCACTTGCTGTGTATGCAGCACGGTGATACGTGGTGCATGTACGAACACCGGTGTATGTTAAGTGAGTCCGAATTGCTCTGTGCGACCTGACCTACAAGTCCAAGCAAGGACGCTGCGTCTGCTACATCACAAAATACGGACGGAATTTCACCATTTTCTCACGATAAGCACGTACCTCGGAAAAACCGACGTTTTTTGTCAATGTTTTGCGTACGCACGCACATCATACGCACAGATCCGCCGCCTTTTCCATGGTCTGCGAATCCTGAATGGACTTCCGTCCATTATGACGACGATCATCCAGAATCTTGAACAAGTTACTTACCGAGGAGACGACCAGCCAACGAAGGGACCACGGGCTGAAGCAGAATTCCCGCCACCCGCAGCGTCTCCATGGCAACGGCCAGACAGCTGTGAAGCTCTGCTTCTCTCTCCGGTTGTTTCCGCAGCACCCACGGCTCTTTCAGTTGTACAAACTGCAACCAACTGAAGGTGAGGACCAGCCATTGCTGCCGATAGGTGGAGATGCACAGAGCGGTCGGACGAGGTCATCTACTGTAGGTCCTACGGACCCATGTTGCATTATGTATCGAGCAGAAAGCGGAGGCATCAAGATGAACAAGATCGGTACACACTGCTAAGCACTGCCAAATTCAATTATGTCCCACAGGCGAAAAGCAGCAACAAGCATCTTCCACCCTAATCTCACTCTGAAAAGCGTTTTCCAGTCCCCAATTACAGGCAAAATATCATTCAAACACCGAAACAAAAATCTGAATCACTCAAGGGGCCCACTGTACGCAAAAAATCACCACTCGTAACGGCTATGCTCGCCACGGTAGACTGGACCTCTCCTGCCTACGTCTCCGTATTGAGCCGGCCGCACGCCCCCGACAACTGAGCCCGGCGCCCACCTGATTGGCGCTCCGCAGCGCGGCCTGCACCGCCTCCAGGCCGCGGTAGAAGCAGAACTCGTCGTACGCCTCGCCGACCGCTGCCGGTAGGCTGGCTACCGTCTGCAGCAGCAGGTCAGCCTCCGGACCGCCGGCCCCGCCCGCGGCAGCGGCGGCGGACCGGCGCTGCTGGCCGGGGTTGACGGCCGCCGCCGCGCAGCGGCCCAGCAGGTTGCCCAGCGTGTCGGCCAGCTCGGCGTTCAGCAGGTTGGCGGCCTTCTTACGGCTGAAGTCTGCGGCAGGGGTGACGGCCGCCGGTCGACGGATGGCAGGTGGCGAGCGGCGCCAGACGAGTGGCACATGCGTCGGGCCCGATCACTAGCTGCCAACTTATTCATTGCACGAGTCGACGATTGCACTGTGTTCAGTACGCGGCGATTTCTATTCGTGACCCACCGCGCCAGAGTGACGTTCGTCCCCAGTGACCGACTCCCTCCCCACCCCTTCAACAGACGCATTGCAAAAGCAATGCAGGTGACACCGTGGTGAACCCAAGTCTCACGACCATGAAGCTGTCGCCTCACAGCACCTGAAAGTTTTACACCCACTGCCGTCCTAATGCGTCGCCCGCGCCAGCCAGGAGTGTCTCCTGCATCTGTCCGGCTGTGGCCCCTGCCGACTCACTACCGTCCTCATGCGTCGCCCGTGCCAGCCAGGAGTGTCTCCTGCATCTGTCCGGCTGCGGCCCCTGCCGACTCACTGCCGTCGGAGTGTGGCACGCCCTCGCGCAGCAGGAAGTAGCGCAGCCCATCGGCCGTGTAGGTGCGCAGCGCCTCGTCCGCCGACACGACGTTGCCGAGGGACTTGGACATCTTGACGCCGTCGACGGTCCAGTGGCTGTGACAGAGCAGGAGGCGCGGCGGCGCCAGGCCCGCCGCCAGCAGCAGCGCCGGCCAGTACACGCCGTGGAACCTGCGGCCGGCCGGGCGGACGCCGTCACCTCGCCGGGCCCGCGACCGCGCTCTCCGGCGACCGGCCGCGACAGGGCCGGCCTCAGCGCCGGCGGCCGGACCACGCGCCGGTCGCGCCGTAGGTACACCGGTGCAGGGCGCGCGTGCTAAAAGCTGGTGGGAAGCCACCAGACTGAGGAGCGATCGATGTCGTAACGATGAAGTTAACCGACGGGACGGAGTTAACCCCGGCTGCGCAAAAACACGAGACAGTCTGTAGGAACGCGGTTTTATAGATATTCCCCGCGGCGCAGGCCCCCGAGAGGCGACTCAAGTTCAAAGCCTTCACCGATCAAAGCAAGTCGGACGGGACAACTCACTTGAGAATGTCCTTGCCGATCACTTGACAGTCCGGGGGCCAGCGCTCCAGCTGTCCGGGGTACCCGCTGGCGGTCAGGTAATTGACCAGGGCGTCCAACCACACATACACCACCTGCTGGTCATCTCCTGAAACACGCCCGCCACCTCCTGGTCGTCACCCGAGCGTGGTCAGCCGTTCGCGCGGTCGATACTGACTGGCCATCGCCGGAAGTCAAGATGACGCCGTGACGTGTGCAAAGGGGTGCACGGCGACACGCGCGGTGCACGGCTCTGCCCGCGATGTTGCTCACACACAACAAACAGGCAACACGGCGAGACCGTTAACAGGTGGCATAGCTGCGACGGACCGTCACAGTCCGTGTCTCTGGGCCGGCCCTGGTGGGTCACTACGGGCCACGTCTTCGGGCCGCAGGAGGGTAGCAACATCTGGCTGCTTCCTCGCAGCCAGATGCCCCCTCCCCCGCCCCCCCCTCCACAGCTGAGTTTGCCCGGGTTCACGTCAAACCGGCGGCAACAACGAAGCAGCGTGTACACGCAATGCACTGAAGCTGTGCAGTGCTGGTCGCCGGTGCGTTGTTGGGGCTAGCCTGTGTACCCGCCGGTGGGTCGTCCCCCCACCATCTGAGTCCGGCCCGGTGCGTTGCCGGGGCTAGCCTGTGTACCCGCCGGTGGGTCGTCCCCCACCATCTGAGTCCGGCCCGGTGCGTTGCCGGGGCTAGCCGGTGTCTCCGCCGGTGGGTCGTCCCCCCACCATCTGAGTCCGGCGGTGTTCGCCGTTCGAGCGAAGGTCATATGGGTAACATGGCATGAAAAATGGTGTGACGAAGAATCACGCTGAGCCCATCGATGCCTGACTTTACCTAGGAACATCTACCACGATACAAAGACCTATTATCAACGTCATCACGTTAACTGGGCATTTTGTTCATGCCTCCATAGGCATGTCTGTGTTTTAATCCTGTCAATATGCTATGCACGTTAAGTAAGTAAAACTAGAACATATCTGCAAAAGTGTGCGGTGCTTTAAACGTCACGGCGTAACCCCATGACTGTTGCACAAATGTTTGCAGCGATACAGTTGTTATCGCTCGAGCTGTCACTGCAACCACAACAGAAAGCTGCTATTCGGGCGCGGGAGCCCACGTCGCCCGGTGGCTGACCTGGCACCGGCCTGATGACGGACCTGGCACGGGACCGTTGACTGACCTGGCACTGGCACGCCCCAGTCGAGTCGGCTGACCGGCCTGGAGACGGACAGGTCGGGCAGGTCGGCCTCCAGCCAGCTCTCCAACAGACGGCCGAACTTGGCAGGACGCACGTCCAGATCTGGGGCAGGTGCAGCGGTCACCATCGAGAGGGTACGTCCGCTCACTCCCACCGGTCCAATACACTGGGGCAGGCACAGCGGTCACCACCGAGAGGGCACGCCCGCCCACTCCCACCGGCCCAATGCATTGGGGCAGGCACAGCGGCCACCATCGAGAGGGTCCATGGTGACGCTCACTGGACCCGCTGTCGGTGTCATATGTTTTCATTATCGCCGCTCACTTGTCCTCTCCTGACAACCAGCGTTGTCAAGAGGACAAATGAAATGCTTGAGCAAGCAGGCCAACAACGCATCCCTAGCAGGGAAATGGCGCTGGCACAAAAATGCATTGATATTAAGCTATGAGAAGAAGAGTACGAGTTATCAAAATAATTTTATAAATCCTGATATACGACTGCAATGATCGTAAGGTTCACGATATTCTGATCCGGCCTTGAACTTTTGCACACAAAGTACTCTACCAGACCCCGCGATCCATCGCCTGTGTTTTCTGATTATTCTGACGTACTTGGCACTTCTGGTCTTCGAGCCACTAATCATCTTTCTCGTGTTTATTCTTCCAATTTTACAAATAGTCCACTTAGCAACTGCTTCTGAGTTTGATTACTGGGAGCGCGTTTTGCCTTCCTGTCTTCAAACGTTCTCGTGCGCGGTGCTTACGTAACAGATATATTATGAACCTGTGAAAACGCCTTCTGACCCAATTAGGCCAGTGTGTTCCTGGCGCTAGACTGGCGCATGCACGTAGTCTCAGGACGGCGGTCTGACCGCCAAACGCGCGTCACGCCAGACTTTTCCGGTGGGTCTGGTACATCTAGATGCACTGATAGTCTGCCTTGTATTTAATGTGTTGATATAATGCAGAGACTTATGGCATCGCTTTCCTTTTGCTCTGAAGTAGTGGACTGAGAACACTTGGAGTCTTCATATTCATCATTTCTCTTCTCTTTCCCCCCAAAATAAATCATGATCCAGATTATAATTGAGTTATTGTATAAAGACAGAGAGGAAACTTTTTTAAGCAAGTCTCCGCGAGATGCATGGATCGTAACAGGAGCAAGTATCACCTACAAGATAACAGCCTCCTACCCGAATTTTCTCCCCATTCAAGAGGTTCTGACTGCATCGTCCGAATTAACACAAGATTTATGAAGAAAAGGCCACAATGGTCAACTTTTACCAAATGGTAAACATCAGTATATTGATGCCTGAGCTACCAAGAACAGGCCGAACGAGACCAAGTCATCACCAACGAACTGGTTCTGATGTGACTAGAAGCCGATTGGCTAGGTCTACTAGCTTTCGCTCGCATCATCACAGATCCCGCGAAACTACTCGCCCAATGTATGGGGACCATAATGTCACAAAGGCATGACCACGACCCCATCAGGCTTCTCTCCACGTGACTTCACAGATCAGCGCACTTACGGTTTCTCACCCAGTGTCGAAGGTCGTCTCGCATACGGGACATGGGGAAGACGTAGTTCTCCTCCTCTGCCCACGTGACCACGTGACCTGATTCTGATGATATGGCCACCTTCTTGCCATCCCGCACCTCTTCTGTCACCTAAAACATGCAGCGTTATGTGACGAGTTACTTCGGAAATCTTTCGTCCACACGGCACCGCAAGAACACATTTTCAGAAGAAAGAAAAATACTGTCTTGCAGTCAATTCCAAAGTTAAATGACCGCATTCGCCCAACCTCAGAACGCCTGCAAATGAAGTCACTTCAGTTTTGATCGACAATGCTAACTTAAGTGCTGAAAGGATGAATGTTGCGTTGGACAATGAGGTTGACCACCATGCATTCTAAAATTGGTAAGGCTAAGTCTACAAAATTACTACTTAATATATGCATTCAACACCCTTTCCTCATCTTTCAGTTCTAAAAATATATGGGGCGTGGTGTGGTCTAATGCATTTCGATAAGCTGAGACCAAAGACGACCGTCAACGTTCAATTTCAAAAAAAGATTACCCGCCCTCACCCAAGTTCGACGTAACACGAACTTCACGTGTTTCTGCCCAGGGCGTACATAGCATTCGTGAGTCACGTAAGTGATACCGAATACCAAAAATTAGCTACTTGTCTTCTTTTCCACGTGCAACACAGCGCGCTGCCATATGGAGTAGTCCTGCAATGTTGGTTACAAGCTATAGTAGACACGGACCTTGACGGTCTAGATGGTGCTAGCGTCGCACGCGCTACGGTTGGGTGAACCAATGGCCGTTGCTGGTGCTGCGCCAATGTCTGGCTATTTCGTGCCTCATGTACTGCGAGACGAAAAAAATGAATTTTGTTTGACCTCAAGTTGAAATACCAACATACGCGCCTGGCCAACAATATGTTTGCTAATAATGCCACTAAACGGTCGCTGGTATGGCAGCTCCGGTTTCTTCTCATACATTAAGAGCATTGTTTCGAGCAAACTATTTCGCGCAAGCACGACTGAACGCCACACAAAGTACAGTGCCGAACCAGCGTGCCTTCTCGGCTACCGACACACTTTTGAAGCGTGGTGTCTCCATGCACGTCTCCATTCTCCTCCGCGTTATCCTCAAACCCATACGTCACACTAGCGTGCCGTTTCGGTACTGACGTACGTACTGCTAATGTCTGGTGTGCTGTGCCACACCCAATCCACGGAGCGGGCTGCCAAGATGGCCACGCAGTGACCACCCCCGTGACCAGTGTTGTCTTTTTAGATTCAATCAAACGTTTTGAATGGATGGAGTTCTGGGGTCAAAGTTCAAGCTAAGCGTTGCCTGTTGTGCGAGCCCTTTCCCCATTATCCGACCACAGAATTCCAGGCTACCGGCAGAATTTGGCGGCCAAAGTTTAACGCGTCGCAATACCCGGCACGGTCCGTCCTGCGCTCTAACGCCCCTGCTCATTTGCCCAGCCGCTGCCGCCGGCCGCAGGCTATACCCGCCAGGGATACATAAGAGCGCATCGAACGACTCACACCCACGCCGCCACGGGTGAACGGATCGGAAGGCAGGCGCCCTAACCAACTGAGATCGGTGTTTGCCGCTGTCGTGGCATCGCTCTCAATAGGAGCGCGCTGCATGAGCGCCCTGAGCGCAGTTGCTGCGACTCGTGCGACGGAGCACACTGCGCGTTGGTAATTGCACTGCTAAATTTGCGTGGCGTTATGTCGTGCTTGTTTGACATGTACTGCTCGACAATGCAGCTTTGGTAAGACGCGTATCTCGTAGTTCCGGCTTTAGATACGAAACCAGTCTCCTCTATTTTTCCGTCTCAAAATACATGGAGCACGAGATAGCCAGACACTGGCACAGTACCGGTCGTGGTCAATGGTTTACCCAACCGCGAAGCGCGCGACGCTGGCGCCATCTAGTCAGTGAAGATCCATGCCTACTGACTTCTTACCGATATTGCAGGACTACTCACCATGATAGTGTGCTGTGTTTCACATGGAGAGGAAAGCAAGTAGTTGCTTATTCATCTTCAATATCACTTATCTCACTCACAAATGCCATATACACTGGGGCCGACACACGCAAAGTTCACATTACGTTGAAAATGTGCAAGGGTCAGGGCGGGTAATATTTTTTATTGAATGCTGAACCACATCAGACAACGCCACGTCCTCGGATTTTCAGAGAAAAAAAAACAATTGAAAGCGAACCTTCGTACCATTCCGGAGCCAAATATAAACAGAGCAGTAACCAACCTGAGAAGGCGTAAGAAACGACTCATCAGGAACACTGTACCAGCCAGTGTAGCTGCCCTTCTGGATATACCCTCTTGAATCCAGAAGCCTCTGAAACACAACACACATACTAACACACAGCATATTGCCTTTTGCTTAGCAGTGTTTCAACTACAACAGATTACATCACATTAATAAAAAATCCTGTTGCAACACATCATACGAATGACCACCTGTTGTTCCGACCAGTGTCATTAGCACTGCAGTGCACCACGGTAGTGCGACATCACCATGAACAGCAGGATACCATGGGTAAAGTTCGGTTGGCGCCCTTGGATGAGCACATTGCAATCGAACCACAGGAATAAAAACACACAGATGCAGCGTCTTACTGCCTGACGGTGCCCAAAACCAGTTGGCCGTTATTTCAACAGGCGGGCCGCTTCCCCGGCGTCGCTGCACTTGGGGCCACGATTCTGGTCGGTGGGGAGGAGGTCGGACTCGACATACCCAGAAGTGCTGGACGGCGTGCGCGTGGTCCGGGTCCGTGGTGCGCACGTAGCGCGCGTACTGCACGTCGGCCGCCTCGAAGGCGCGCCGGAACTGCAGCGACACGCGCTGGCAGAGGGTGGCTGGTGGCAGGCCGGCGGCGGCCGCCGCCTGGCGCACCTTCTGGCCATGCTCGTCCGTGCCGGTGCTGAGCAGCGCGCCCCGGCCGCGCCGCAGCGCCGCGTACCGGGCGGCCGCGTCCGCCAGCACCGCCGAGTACACATGGCCTAGGTGCGGTGCTGGAACGGGCCCGGCCGTGAGCTAACGGGGAGGCAGGACCCAGGTCCGGCAACAGGACGCCGCTCTGACAGGGGTTCGGCCGTGAGCTAACGAGGGGGCGGGGCCCAGGTCCAGCAACAGGACGCCGCTCTGACAGGGGTCCGGCAGTGAGCTAAAGAGGGGGCAGGACCCAGGTCCGGCAACAGGACGCCGCTCTGACAGGGATCCGGCAGTGAGCTAAAGAGGGGTCAGGACCCAGGTCCAGAAACAGGACGCCGCTCTGACAGGGGTCCGGCAGTGAGCTAAAGAGGGGACGGGACTCAGTCCAGCAACAGGACGCTGCCTCTGACAGAAATGACGTGTCTCCTGACTTGCAAACCCAAAGATGACATTTATTTAAATGGAAAAGCAGCTTTGGCTGGAACATATGGTAAAATGGCACATAAAATGTAATTGCATATTTGATGGAACTGGGTTGGATATAATCGGAACTTTGATGAAATTTGATCTGCAACTAATGGAACACTACAATGAATACATACCCTGTGCCAATGACCAGTTCTGAACTCTGCTGCTAGTCACTCTGATTCTGAACTTTGGCAGCATGGTAAAGAAGTCTTATTAAGGAGCCACAACTTGCATACTTACCAGTGTCATCTTAAGCAACCCATCACGCAGGCAACAGGCAGTTCCCAGCCCCTCATCCCCTGTCTCCGCATGATTGTCAAGTAGGTGATTGCATAGGTATGTAGGCAGTTACCAGCATAGGCACGAGTCATGCTGCAAAATGTGTCGGATCTTGACAAGATCCTGTTAGGGCAGTGTTTGGGCAACAATTTATATTTTGGGCAGGTTTTGAAATTGGGGCCTGGAATTCGTTCCTTGGGGCAGGTTAAGTTATTTCATGGCAGCTCATGGTACGATCACAGCAAAAATGGAGTCCTTTCGCGCTTCAGCCCGCCTTGCTTCTCGGAGGTCAATTCTGGGGCCTGGACTGACGCAGCACAAAGCTGCTGTGTGAAACAGTCCTGACCGAGCCACAGAAAGGTCAGAGGACAATGGTCAGAGGGAACGGAGGAGTGGTTGATGACCGGCCCATTCCTTCGATGATGCAGCGGTGAAGCTGGACCGCAATCGAAGTGCTCTGAAGAGGCTGTTGTGCGCTCGGTTCTGTTTGCACGTCAGGCACGTGGGTGACGAGCAGACACCGCCAATTGGCAGAAGTAGACAAGATATCCGAAACAAAACCCAGAGATCGCTGCAGCATTTCATTTTGTTGTTTGTACGATTTAGTTCCAGCCTCTCGATTGGACAAATGCCTGGGATCGACGCCCACGCCACATGGTACCGGTTGCGTAGTCCTGGCACCACCATCCGATCGTGAAACTTCGGGTCGACATAATCTTACGGAGAAAGCTCACCGTGCCTTACAGTGCTTGGCACTGGCTTGGCACAGTGCTTGGCACCACCGTACAGTGCGTGGCACTGTACGTCCTGTCCTGAGGGCAGGACCCTCCGGCGCCACTTGACCTTTCCCGCACCTGCTGTTACAGTCAGGAGCTCATGCCAGCCCGGGCCAAATCATGAGCATATGAACCAACTCGACTCCCCGCTACCAGTACGTGAACCAGAAAGCAGATGCTCTAACCAACTGAGCTGTTGGCAAAACTGCAGATTGAATGCAAGAGAAATATCAGCTGTTACTTTCGCGGGCAAGCTTAAGCCTTTGTGGGAAAGCAACATTGGCACCTCTAGAAAAAGAACACTAAATTCTGAATTAAAAACCAGAAAGTGTAATATTGCCTTTTTGTTGACAATGACATCTAACTTCCATTTGGGAAATATGACTGCACCAGCACAATCAATGTTTTAGTATATGGACGGATTTTGTGTCCCACAGGTCAGAACACGAGACTCAAATAGGATTTCTGAAGCACTCAGAAGGCTATGATGTGAGGTGCATCTCAATATTGAGCCCCAGTCAACTAAAGTACATGACTAGCTGTGCCTGTATATGATTTCAATGCTAAAGAGTTGTTCATCTTAAAGCAAAATGTTGCATGCAAAGACCTCAGTGCGGCAGTGGTCTAGTCATTCTTTACGCACTGAGGTCAGAAACGGTTTAAAACGTCAAATGGATAGTCTGATTTTGTTGCGCTCTCTTGCTCTGCATTCTGCATGTCATTTTGTTCACACATGTGTTAATGACCTTCCCAAATGCTGATGCAGCCTGCCAAAAATTTAACTGAATTGTTGCTATTCCCTTTTACAGTTCATCTTCACAGCTTACTTTGTAAGAGCACCTCAATTTTGATTCACCGCCTCGTGGCAGGGAAGGTCCAGGCCACTTCATGCCCTAATTATTTAGCCGGTTGGAATGGACAGTAGCAGACAGCACAGGGTGCCCTAAAAAGTCAAGGCGAAGTCAGATGATCCAACTCCTAAGCCCTAGGATCCCCTGACGTAGGTAAAAAGTCAAGGTGAAGTCAGAGGATCCAACTCCTGTGCCCTGGGATCCTCTGACGTAAGTCAGAGGATCGGAGGATCCTAGGGTAAGACGGGCGGTGCCAAGCATTGTGGCATATCAAGATTTTTTCGTGATGTTGGGGCTCACAAATTAGGTACCACTTAGCATGAACACTGATCCCACAAAAATATCAAATCAAAAGGTAAGGACAAAAATTTTAAAACAGGCTGACCGCCATGCAACAGTGAGAAAATGTTATCTGGGTGGTCAGGATGAGTGGAAAAAACATGAGTTTGGTGATAAAAATGTGCTAGTTTAGAAAAATGCCTCCAGCTTGCATCCATTTCCTGACATTTCAGACAGCCCAAAGGTTGAGTGACTTGCATTTACGGTAAAGGTTGGGGAGTTCTAGTTGGCAACCCACACCATCCAGACAACGCTCTCGTAGCCGGGGAAGACAGCACAACACGCATACATGTGGTAAGTTGGAGTTTGTACCTGCATTCACGTAAAATATAGGCGTCGTCACAAAGTATTTCATATCAACAGGTGGTAAACTCCTTTCAAAGCAGTTGGGCTGAACCCTAAGCAAACCGCACACCCCTGCCGCGCACACCCTTCCACCCACTATAAATGTGAGGAGGTAGGGGATTCCCAAAGTTGTATTTATTCATCCGGCCTGTGACACGCCACCCGATCGTGCTATCCAAAGCTCTCGAGGCCCGGCTGTGTGCAGTCCTTGACCTCGTCAAATGACGCAAAATCGCCATAATTGCAACGCAACCATATACTATAACGGAAAACCTTTGCCTGCTTCCAAATAGGCAAAAGAAAAATGCAGATTTATGGCTACCAGCTTGAATAAATGATGCGAATAAATCCATTAACTTCATCATTTTCATCTTAAAATATCTTCAATCTAATACAGAAGAGTTGTCTTATCGAAAATGCATGCTGTGCGACCAGGTAATCGTACAGCATTCTGCCGCCGCAAATGTTTTCCCTCGTGTTTTCATCACGCTGTCAATGGTTCTGTTGTGAACGCAGATACCAGGGCATTAGGACACTGAGGGCGGCCTGTCGTGGGTGTGAATCACTTCAAAGGCGGGCGCGAGGCTGCCCCGGACGTGGTTTTGTTGAGCGATAGCGAGTAAGTATCGAAAGGCAGTGGAAACCTAACTGGCGTTGTGAAATAATTCCCATCGAACCGAAGCACTGGGAACGCGGCGGTATCATCTGTGCTGTTTACCAATGTCGCCCGGGCGGGGGCCTGTGCCTTGATACCGCGTTTCCAGACCCGAAAGATCCGCGGGTCGGTTATGTGGGCAATTTAGAGGGTGCAGCAGTAAAGCTGCGTGTCTGGGAAACCAGAAGTTTGGAGTTCGATTTCCCGCAGTGCCTGCCCTTCCTGCCAGGGTGTAGGGCAGATGACACTACATAGTCTCAGCAGCTGAGTGCATCATAAAGCCCCAATGACGAGGGGCTTTAGGGGCAATAGGGGCTGTGGTGGACCTTATGGAAAGGGAAGTTTGTCATAAGTTAAATCCAGGTTGTCTCTTGGACCATACAATATCCACTCAAGGTTCAAGGGCCAAACTGCATGCACCACACTTCTGTGACTGTTGTGGTAGACAAAGAGCAAGCATGTGTTGGACCCCAGGCAAAACTGCATAGAATTTTCAAATGAATAATGCTGAATAAATACTTTAAATTACTTGAAGAGCATCATAGCTCCTTGAAATATTGGCTATGCAATGAAAAGGATGGTGACTGTACCAAACTCATTGTCTTATATTTACAGTCTGTGTACTTGATAACCATTTCTGTTGTGTTGCTGGTTCTCTGAATATTCAGCATAACATGCAGTTGATTGGCAGTGGCCATGTCAGATATGACTGGTAGGCTGTTATAGTGATTATCTAGTAGTGGCATCTGCTCATGATCTTTTCACAAATAAACAATGGTGAAGATCACTAGTTGTTTGTATAACTATCAGCTATCATTTTAATGTACCCATTTATAATTTTCAAGATGAACATATCCATGTTGTTTTGCTATTAAATTATGCTGACAATATGTCAAAACTGGTATCCATCCTGTGCTCACCTTGACACTCATCATACAAACCACTTAATACTGGCATATGCATGCTGAGGTAAGAGACAATAGGGCATATGCAAGAGCAAACCATGCAGATGGCATGGAACAACCATTGGTGTCAGTGTTGCCTTGATGACATGAAGTGTGCTGAATAAACCATTACTAGGCAAACTTACTCAACTTATAAAAAGATCAGATTACCTTATAAAGCGTGGCATATGTTCCTGTCAAGGTGATAGCATGTCATACATTTACTTGAGCCATGCAAGATTATATTCTGTTCATTGAAAACAAACTTATGATGCATGACGCATATCTTTTCTTAGAAAGGCCCCTGACTGTTCTTCCTGATGATCTGAATTTTTGTGGACCATGGATGTTTGGGATCAACTTTAACAAGCATAGATAATGCACTAACTAGATATAGACAAATGGTTATCATCAATAGATGCCACCATAGATGGGAATCCATTGTCTTGGCATTTCTCAGAAGTTTTTACTGGGACTGACTCAATTATTTTTCATTGTGAATATGGAGAAAAGTGCAGATAGCAAAAGGAACCTGTTCATGCATGGTGGTTAACTGTATTGCATTGTGGCTGAATTTCCTGATGAGAGCATTTGATTTGATGTGATATCAGCTCCTGAGAGGCATCAGGACCTAAGGGAGGGCATCTGCCTGTTTTCTACGCCTGTGATATGCCTGATTCAGTTTTTTTTTACATGAAGCACTACATGAGCCATCAGAAGCCAACATTGACTATAAAGCAAGTTTATTTATATTGTAATATGAGATGAAGAGATTGGATTTTCTGTGTACTGCACCTGGAACAGCTGCATGATTGAAAGTATGTGTTGTGCACAAAATATGTGTGGAATGTTGTTATTTGGGATGGACTCATCATTGATTCCAGCCAATATGGTTGACTTCTTCTGACCTCTGCAAGGCTTTGAGGGAAGCACTGCATTTTTAAGGCATGCAGTATATAATCATTGCAGCCTCATCAGGACCAGACCCACCAAAAATTTAGCTGATTCTGGAGTTTACTCTGCCTGCAAGGAACCAAACATGGACACTTTGGCTTCTGCCAGCATCTGTTGTTATTTTGTAAACAATTTTCTCTTGATCCTCTCATCTAAACAGTTCTTCTAGATTTACACCTTGTCATGCTGGGCTCAAAACATTGATTGTGGCCCATGCATTTGTGTCCTGCTCAATGCACATCATATTACTTCCCAATTGGGCTTGGGTTGATGTTTCAGCAAATCACTGTGGAAACACACTGACATTAGAGGTTAAAGGGTGATCTTTTTTAGTTTGTCTTTTTATGTTTACCATGGTATCACAAATTGTGACCCTATATATGACCCTAGTTATTAACCCTATATCATACTGGGGACTCCACATAAGTATCATTCAATTTGCTGTGGCTGGCCTTTGGCAGGTAGTATGTTCATGTCACTCTAGTATGTGCACTGATGGAATGATAATGTTCCTCATAAATATTGCCTTCAGGGTTTGACATATTCATATAGTAGCCCAAGATTCATTTGTCCACCCTGTGATAAAATTGTTTTGTTTATCAATATATGTTTGAAAAATGTAACACTAACACATTTGGGAGCGCACACTTAGAAATTAGCGTATCGGGAACAAACCACGCTGCTTTGACCCATGCAATAAGTACGTACGTCTACGGCGCGCCGAACCAGATTTTCAGTGTAAGAACTGAGTTATGCTCTCCCCTTGTGCCCTGCCCCATTGTGAACCCCTGTGTATGCCCCTACATTCAGAAAACCATATTTTTATGGGAGCTGACATGCTTCAATATTTTCAGGGTCCAGGACCCTCCGTCATGGCTGGGAGCGTGAAGGCCCTGATCCTGCTGGCGTTCACCGGCTCGCTGGGCATGATGTTCATGCTGCTGGCCTGCGCGCTGCCCCGGTACAACAACTGGTGGCCCCTGTTCGTCATCATATTCTACATCCTGGCACCGATTCCGTACTCGATGGCCCGCCGCTACCGGGATGACATGGGCGCCAGCAGTAGTTGTTTGGAGCTGGCCGTGTTCTTCACGGCCGGCATCATCATTTCGTCGTTCGGTTTACCCATTGTGCTAGCGCATGCGCCCTCCCTCCAGCCAGTGATTGAGTGGGGTGCCTGCGCGCTGGTTATGACCGGCAACGTGGTCATGTATCTGACCATCCTCGGCTTCTTCTTGGCCTTTGACGGCGATGCCGACTCGTGGAACTACTTCTAGCCGCGGCGCGACGGCTGGCGGCCGCGGTACGCGGGTCACGGGGCACGGGGTATGGTCCGCCTGATGTCCGCGCATCCAGGGCATTGGCGCGCGGCGGCTGGGGGCTGGGGCGGTCAGGCCGTCCGACGTCGACTACGGCAGCTGCCTGAGGCCGCGGAGGGCCGGCGGCAGCGAGGCGCCGGCAGACTGGCGGCAGTCCGCGCCGCACGCGACGTGAGTGATAGTTGGTATCTCTTTTTTGTGATCTGTATACCGGTCGTGCTTTTGTATCGTGGTTTTTGTTCCGCATGCACTTTTCTGCACGTTGTTCAGCCCTGGGTCGCACTCCGCACGTGTACGTGGCGCGGAGGGTCTGTAAGCGTGCTCGCCGTCGCGCCGAGTTTGTTCAGGATGTCTGAGCTTTAACCGTGGCTGCCCCCCAATGGTGTGCTATCCAGTCTGCACTGACGGAGGCTATTCGTGGTCTGGTATTAACTGCTTGTCGTACTGACGTGTATCGTTTTGAATTGCGTTTTCATGGTTTAAACTTAAGCAGCAATTTTCCACGTGAGATTTAATACAATGGATAATAAACATGCTTAGAGTGTTTTTGTGTGTCTGGTTCAGGGAAATGGTGCACAACAGCAGTGAGGGACATTACGTTAACAATGCCTTGCCATTGGTGGCTGTTTCGTCGGCTGTTACTCGAAATGACGGTTACCTGAAGGCGTGCTTTGTGAGCAGTTGGGTGCTAGGACTTCACACATGTCGGTCCCCTTGAGATCTCACACGCGATGGTGGCTCGATCCAATGCCGCTCCGGGGTCTGTCTGCCCAAGCGTGTTGGCGTGCGGGGCCTGAGCGGCGTGCCGGTCGCCTCGGGGCCTTGCCCTGAACGCGCCGTGCCCTGGAGGTCTGTGTAACTCACCAGTGCGGGTCAAACGGGCGGCGGCGGTTCTGTGCGCCGGCGGGATTGTGGCCACCAGCGTGTGTCCGGGGTGTCCGTCAGGCGGCGCACTCTGCGACGCTTGCAGCCTCCCCCGCTGGACACCGTCGATACGCGCGCTATCCCCGCGTGCGGTTAGTGACAGAGTTCTAGGTCTTGTGTTATCTCCGTTTTGTAAGCTTCGAAACGTTATACTGTCCACCATCTGACAACCTTGCGTATAGTTCTTCCCCGCCGTGATCGATTCAGAATCCGATTTACAGCGTATGATGCTGATTCCGAGCTATACTTCGGCTGCGACGCTAGCTCTGCACAGAGCACTTCAGCCAAGCCCCATTTAGAATGCAGGTTTGGCGAGGCGTCACACAGTTTCATGATTGATTCCGTTGATGTCGAT